GTCACCACCATGTTAAGTGACCCAAACGTAGCATCACTGATAGTGACAAACCTAAGTAATGTACCTGATGTGCTGAACACAGTACCCAGAATACTTCATACCTGAGTGTTCTTGTCCCTTCTCCCCCTCCCACCCTCAGATTACATTCACACCTTCAGACTTGGAGTGGAATATTAGGAAGCGGAGTTTGGGGTAGGGGTCGGAGGATGAAATCAGCCACCAAAAAGAAACAGACAAATCCAGAATGTAGTACATTTCACAAGACATCTGGCCTGTTCTTTTCAAAAAGTCACTGTCATATGAGATTCTAGGAAGGTGATGGTAATGGTGCATTATTTTTGAGTCTCCCCAAATTACTGCATAAAAATGTTCAACAACTTGAATATCTACAACAAAACCAGTTTGCTAGAGAATGGGAATGAGTTTTAGACAACCGGAATGACTACTGGATATTAACTCTGATATGAACATTAAATATGTATTTATTACCTTATTACCTATGAGCAAAAGTAATAAGGAAGAGAGGCTATAGTTTGTAATGGATATATGATCTAACAGAGTAGATATAGTACAGCTATTAGAAAATGGACAACAGTGTAAAAAAGTATTTAATTATATTTTCAGTAATCATATTGGTCTCATTATCGAGGCTGTTGGGTGGGCAATATGGGATAAAGAAAATGAATAAAATCTGTTACATTTATATACACCAGTAATGAAGCAGTAAAAACAAAACAAAAAAAATGAATGTGATATTCTAATTCTTCATCCTTTCTGTCCTTGAGAACCAGGATTCTCAGTGGTTAAAAAAAGAAAAAAAGGAGATACAATTAAAAGATGAATGATAAAAACTTTACAAACTTGAATTTGAATTATTAGGATGAACTCATAAGGTGTTTTATCTTTAAAAAAAAGTATGTGTATGGACATACATAGATAGTAATGGAGGTAAAACTGTTTATTAACAGACAAATCATTTATGTAGAAAATCCCAAAGAATATATAAAAACACTACTAAAAACTAGTAAGTCAATTTATTAGCAAGTTCACAGGATACAGGATCAATAAAACTGGGTTATATTTCTACCAAGAATTACAAATTGAAATTTTTAAAACACTATAATCACATGAAAAACATGAAATACGGGGTGCCTGGGGGCGCCTGGGTGGCACAGACGGTTAAGCGTCTGCCTTCGGCTCAGGTCATGATCCCTGGGTCCTGGGATCGAGTCCCGCATCGGGCTCCCTGCTCCTTGGGAGCCTGCTTCTCCCTCTGTCTCTCTCTCTCATGAATAAATAAATAAAATCTTAAAAAAAAAAAAAAAATATGGGGTGCCTGGGTGGCTCAGTTAAGCATCTGCCTTCGGCTCAGGTTATGGGTTATGATCCCAGGGTTCTGGGATCGAGCCCTGCATCAGGTTCCCTGCCCAGTAGGGAGTCTGCTTCTCCCTCTTCCTCTGCCCCTCCCTCTGCTTGTGTTCTCTCTCTCGCTGTCTCTCTCTCTCTGTCAAATAAATAAATAAAATCTTTAAAAAAATTAAATACTTTAGGATAAATCTAACAAAAACCTACAAGTTTTAGTGTGTTGATGAGATAAAATCTAAAGTGAAGAGATACACTGTGTTCATAGAATGGAAGGCTGATTATTGTTAAGATGTCAGTTCTTTCCATACTGATCTAAGGAGTCAACACAATGCCAAACAGAATCCCGGCAGGCATTTTTTTTTTTTTTTTTTAAGAAATCAGTAAGATAAGCTTAGGATTTATATGGAAATGTAAAGGACCTAAAATAGCCAAAACACTTTTGAAAAAGAACAAGTTGGAGGACTCACACTATCTTGTTTCAAGATTTACTATGAGCTACATGTAATCAAGTCATGTGGTATTGGGCTAAGAATGGACATATACAGCAATAGGACAGAATAGAGTTCAGAAATAAACCCTTACACATATAAGTTTAATTTTTAATCAATTTTTGTCAAAAATTCCGAGGCAATTCAGTAGAGAAAGGAGTTTCAGCTAACAATATTGGAACTACTGGCCATCTATGTACAATAAAATTAATCCCAACCCTTACTTTATACCATATTTTTAAAAATCAGCTTTTAAAATAGATCACAGACCTCAATGTGAAACCTCCAAAACTTCTAGAAGGAAACATATGAGCAAATCTTTGTGTCTTTTGGTTGGCAAAGATTTCTTAAGAAGGACACGAAGCATGAACCATAACAGAAAAAATTGATAAATTGGACTTCATTAAAATTAAATTTTTTTGTTCTTCAAAGAAAACAAAATATGGACTAGAAGGAAATATTTGCAGAATATATTTGTTAAAGGACTATATCCAGAGTATATAAAGAACCCACAGTTCAATAATAAGGGAGATAATGATCAAAAAGTAGCCAACAATTTCAACACACAACTTCACAAAGAAGAGGTGTAGGGATGGCCAGTAAGCATGTGAAACGATACTCAACATTGTTAGTCATTAAGGAAATACAAAATCGCAATGAGATATCACTATATATTTTTTAGAATAGCTAAAAATTTTTAAAGATTGACCGTTCCAAATGTTGATGGAACAACTTGTAACTCATACATTTTTGGTGGGGAATGTAAAACAATACAACCACTTTTGAAAACAGTTTGGCTGTTTCTGATAAAGTTAAACATAGATCCAGCAATCTTATATCTAGATATTTACCCCAATAATGAAAATATATGTCCACCCACGGCTTGCACAGGAGTATTCATAATAGCCAAAAACCGAAAGCAAATGCCATATCAGTTGGTGAATGGATAAGCAAGTTGTGCTGCCTCCATACAGTAGAATACTACTCAGCAGTAAAAAGAAACAATTTGTTAATTAGAATTTCCGGTTCCAGAACAAGTGAATACATACTCTTCCTATTTTTCCTGCTAAGTACAACTAAAACCCCTAGATACTATGCGTAAAGCAAACATAAGACAATTCTGAAACATGGATAGAGGAAGGCAGATCAGCTGGGGATCTTGGTACCTGAGAAATGATATGGTGGTAAATTCCCTGGGTTTTCTTTTTGCCTCATATATCCTATCCTGTGTGCTAGAGAAGCTGGCAACCTGGAAACACCAATGAGCACCGATGAAAAGCCCCAAGAAAAGCTGGTTTTTTTTTTTTTTTTTTAGTCAAACAGGAAAGGGGCAACCTATAGCAAGACAAAACTAGGCAGTAACTGCCCTACTTCAGCCGAAAATGATGGGAAAACTGCACTGTGTCCCCACTTTCTCCAGCAGAGGCTGAGTATGAGCTTAGACTTCCCCCTTGCTCAGCTATAACAAGGCACACCTCTTGTATCTCCCCACTTTCCTACTGGGGTGGTGTCAGAGAAGGTGAAGGCCTGGGCAGTCGGTAGACAGACTTCCATCCTCCCTGGGCAGTGATAATGCACCTCTCCCCATATGGTATCAGTGGAGGCCTTGGGTGGAGCACTTGTGTAGATCTTGCTCAATTATGTCTGTCCTTGGAATTGTATCTTTTTAGGTGGCTTTATAAATAAAACTTTTCTTTAGTTGTAATTTCGATATAGTGATTGCATGTTTACTGGATTGGGGATTGAAGTAGGTAGATATATTTTAGTTTATTAAGGAAGTGTCCAGGTACTCCTCTGTTTTATCAACAGATTTTAGTCAAAAATGGTTATTGATTAACAAACATTGCTGAAGCATTACTGCTGTATGCCAGGCTTTAGAACTAAAACAATGAGTAAGGTGAGAGACACTATAGGAAATAATACAAGTCAAAGTAGACTTGAGCTCAGATATCTGTCTACACTACATGTACTAGTTCCGTGATCTTAGGTAAGTCATTTAATTATTTTGAGCCTTAGCTTACTTCTCTGTACAATAGAGCTAATAATAACTTTTAGAGTTGTTATTCTAAGACATGATTCCACACTTGTACAGTCCAGTAGGGTGAGATAGACATATCGCCAAGTAATTGCAAAAAAAAAAAAAATGAGGTGGCATGGTAGAGATGGAAAAATGAGCAGTGGTGATATAAAGGAGTATCTGCTCTGCCTAAAGAGGGACTCAGGACAGCTTTACAGAGGTGACAGCATTTAAACTGGGCCTTGGAGGATGAATAGGGGAAGGCACAACACCTGTGAAACTGCTCGATGTATTTAGGAAACTGCTGTTTGTTCAGGATAATTAGACCACAGGTATGGGCAAATGACAGACTGGAGAGGTAGGCAGATTGTCGATCACAGAGGGACTATAGTTGTTACCCTGAATATTTTGGACTTTATTATGTAAGTGATTGGGAGGTGTTGAAGACTGTTCAGACATCGGATTTGCTGGTGGTGAGGTGTGTTAAGCCAATAGTTGAAAGTCTCTTTAAGCTATTATGTTTGAGGAGGGCCTGAAATAACGCAATGGGACAAATTGAGAGTAGATGACAGATTTGAAGAGTCATAGCTAGTAGAATTAACAGGACCTAGAGGCCACTGGACTATCTCTAGAGAAAGAATAAATAGCAATTCCCAGGGTCTTAGGCTAGGAATCAGAAGCACTCTAAAATTAACAAGGATAAGTTCCTGTACTTTTTTCCTATAGAAAAACACAAGTTGTCTTGAGTATAGCTTGTAAGTTTGGTTAGGTACATCACAGACTGATGACATGAGCACCATAGAGGAGGGTCCTATTCTTTCTGTAGGTGGCAATAAAGTAAGAGCTAAAGGAAACCTAACTATAACCATATTAATAGACTTAAAATTAACAAAAGTCTGAAAAAAGTTTTAATGCGATTGCAGTGTTGATAAAGAAAAATTTTGTGTTTAACATTTTAGTGTTTTTAGCGTTTTTTAAGTGCAATCCTGAATTTGCATTAGTGTTTACATTTTAAAACTAAATTTTATTTTTGTGAAAATGATGTTAAGATGAGTAGTCAATCTGAAATAAAATGTATGTACAAAATGTTTAAAGTGTATTATTTATTCACTATTTTTCTTCTATTCTAGTTACTCTCTCTGGAAATGGAGAAAACGGTAAGGCATCTTAAGTCTCAATTTAAGTAGAATACTTATGGTATCCTAATTGTGACCCACATAGTTTTTATTTAGTGATGACTATATGTGTTTTGTTTTCAGAAAGAAAATACATGTTTTTAAAGTTTAAGTAATTGAAAGGAGATACAGTATTGTGTTTATTCCTATTCAATATATTTTCATTTGTGTTATTTATATAAATTGAAGTAGCTGTTATTTTGTAAGGCATCTAGTACCCAAACTTCTTTGATATATTTATGTACGTATTTATGCCTTGTATATTCTTCAGAATGCTTGATAGTAGTGACTCAAAGATTTTTAATACCAGTTCTAGCTAGGGTTGAGCAGATTTTGTTTCATGATGTCTAAATTTTATTTATGGTCCTCTTGTTTATATATTTGTTAAAAATAGTACTTTACTACTCACAGACATTTAACAAAATAACCAGACTGTAAATTTGTAAATTGTGTTACTAGTTCATTTTGAAAGGGAATTCTACTTTTTATAATGACTAGTTAATGAGATAAATGCCTAGAGGGAAAAATTCATTGCTCAGAATTTCACCAAGCTTTAGCTTGGTGAAATATTAAGAAAATATTAAGTCTACTGAGATCAAATTTCAAAATGAAATTTGATTTGAAATGTGAAAATTCAGAGGATTTCCAAAACAGTTAGTTAGAAATTATTAATAAATATTTATTCTTATTGGAAATAATTAGGCATTAAGCATGTAAATCTCAAGTTGCCTTTGATTCTGATTTCTCAATTCTAGCCAGAGTTGAGGAGGAATAAATATAGACTCAATCTTGGTAGGCTTGATTTTCTTCCTTTAAATCAAAACTGTTTTCTATATGTGAAAGCAGATACAGAAAGCAGAGAACTTCTGAAGTACTTATGAGAGAACATCCAACTTGTCTCATTATTTCTTGGAGCTATTTTCCCCATGTCTTTCAAAGAGTCTTTTGATGAGGTTGTTTGCCTTTTTGTTTTTTTAAATTCATTTACAGGTGATTTTTGAATCAGACTTTTTGATTTATAGATTCAGATTTTGGGGTTGCTTTTTTTTTTTTTTGCTTTGATTTAATTTGCTTAGTTAACTAAGCTTTTACTTTATTACTTTTTTTAAAGATTTATTTACTTATTTTTGAGAGAGAGAGAAAGCACGAGTGGGAGAGGCAGAGGGAGAGGGAGAGAGAATCTCATGCAGACTCTGTGCACAGGACCTAACACAAGGCTTGATTCCAGGACCCTGAGATAACAACCCAAGCTGAAACCAAGAGTCGGCCTACCAGCTGACTGTGCCAGCCAGGCACCCCGTTTATCTATTACTTCTAACTAATGGTTTATAGCATGTATATGTGCTCAGAAGTTTTCTTATTAACAATCACATTATTTCAAATTTATATAAAAGCAGTATTTCCTGTTATCCTTTACATTATAGTTTGCTGTTTTCCATTTGTTAAGTACTTATTACATTCCAGGCATGATGCTAAGAGATTTATCAGTTTGTTTGTTTTTTTTTTAACTGAGGGTTAAGATTTTTTAAAGCAGACACCATTTTGTTCTTACACCTATGGAGAGCAGAAATACTCTAAAAATATTTTAAATGTCTTTAAAAATATTTTGGGAGTATATTTTATATGCTAACCTTAGTTGTAAGTAACTAAATGATTAAGAAGTTTAAAGTACCTCAAGGTTACCGTTTATCTCAAAGCTATACAGTAGAATACAGATGAGGATTGACAAACTTGATTGAATATGGGGGTCAGGCAAAAATTTTAAAAAGTGAAATGAGCTAGGTGAAGATAATATCGCAAACTCGGTAAAAGCTCAGTGTTCATGTAACAGTAGGAGACTGAGCTCCAGTATACTTTTCCAAAGGAAAATCAAATGAAGGAATGATATTGAATCCATTAGGTAGACCCTGAGGTTCAACCTGGAGGGAATGGAGATGGTAGAGAACGCAGATTTTGAGAAGCCAAAATTCAATGAGGATGATAATCAGTTTTAGTGGACATGAAAAGAAAGCAAATTTGAAGATAGAAGGAAGTTGTGGTAAGGATTTTGTCTTGGCATCAGATGTTGGCTCTGAAATAGAATGTGACTACTAAGATGATGGGTAAAGTGGAGGAAAATAGACTTCTAGGTATGACATAATGAAAAGAACCTTGGGTTTTTATTGAGCAGATATGGGTTTAAATCCTGGCTTTATCATTTACTAAGTGACATTGGGCAGGATATTAAATTCTCTGCACCTTGGTTTTCACATTTGTAAACTGAAAATACATTCCAGGACTACAGTGAGGGTTAGAAATAGGGTACACATTATATACCTTCTAATAGGCTTTCAGTAGGTGGAAGTAGTGATTTGAGTAGCTGTGGTCAAATATGGTTAGCAGGAAGTCCCAGTGTTTTATAATGCATTCATCAGTCGTGAGTCATGCACATGGAGCTATTTCCCAGGAACATCACAGCCAAGGTGGAGTAGAAACTATGAACAACACATTTACACTGACCATTGAGATGGACTGGAGGGACTTTTGCAGTGATCCCAATGATTTAAGCAACAGTTTATGAGCTGTTACACTGGCAGTGAAAATAATGAAAGAGAGGAACTAGAATTTGAGGTGCTCTGTGCTGATTAGCTGTGCAATGTGAGGAGTTACTGGGCCCTGGCTTCCTGTGGGACTCATGGTTCTGTTCTCTTAGACCATATGTGCCCCAGTATAATTGCAAAAGAAAAGGCTGGGTCCAACGAGTTGTTAATTTTTTTATCATTATTTTATTTAAAAAGAACATTTTTTAAAACCAAAAGTGAAAGGAGAAATAACCTCAGACAAAAGGAAGAATAGTACTTTGAATTGTTCTTTGCAGACCAGTGAAACTTCTATCATTCCTTAAACTTGGGAAACATGGAAATAGGGAACATGCAAAAAGAACCAGATTTTGAGAGGAAAGATTCTTGGATAGTAATAATAATAATAGCCAGTACTGGGGTGCCTGGCTGGCTCAGTCAGTAAAGTGTGTGACTCTTGATCTCAGGATTGTGAGTATGAACCCCAGATGGGTGTAGAGATTACTTTTTTTAAAATGGCCAGTACTTATTAAGGATTTATTATGTGCCAGACGCTGTTTTAAATGTTTCTCATGTATTAGGTCATCAATATTAAGCAACTGGCTTTAATAAAACAAATTAAGTGCTTTAATTAAAGTCTGAGCAGATCAGAGGGGGAGTATAGTATGAAGAGGTAATGAATTCTAATAATAAAGGAAAAGGCTTATGTGGAAGAAGTAATATTTGATCTGAACTTTAAAAATGAGTAGAATTTCAAACTTTGAAGCTTGTCTGCTTTGTTTTCTTCAGTGGATTTGTGGTGCCTCATTCCAAACAGAAAAAGTTTAAGCACCTGGTACATAGTTCTTGCTTCCTATGGAAACCAGTCCTACTTCTTTCAAAAAGAAAAACTAGAATATAACAAAAAGCCCTAAATTATATCAGTGATAAGTTAATATTTGGAGATAAAGATGTTAGAGTGTTTACACTAATCCACTTGTGAAACAGTTATTGCAGAAACTTTAAATGGCTAAAAATTTTTCACTAGCCTATGTTGAAGGAGAATGAAATTTAGTGTAATGTTTTGGTTAATCCAGGAACTGAGTTTTTCAGATTACTCGTTAAACACAATGGTGGGAACTTCCTTTATTACTTTGTAATTCCTTGAATTTAATGTTCATAGTGATGGAAGCTGTCTTAAATAACTTTTAAGTAATTTAAAATGTAATTTTTAGGAAGAGCTTGAAATTCAGTGAGTGAAGAGGGTGTTTCAACGTAAGTGTTCAGCAGTTTAATAAAATCAAATCTCATCTCAGGCTACAAGTCTTTATTTATAAACCAGGCTGATAACCCTTAAATGCAGGAACTGAATGTTTCTTCATATCTGTAATGGTAGGTCATTCAGATAAAGGAGTTTATAAATTTGATGTCTTCAGTAGGTTTGGATTAAGATATTTATTGGATTAAGCCTCCTGACCCTAAATATTGTGTTTTAATGTAATGCTTTTTCCTGTTTTCACCTGGATTCAATGAAATGTTATTTGTTTTTATTTACCAGGAAAGGCCGTTGTTTACCTTGTGGCTTTCCATCTGTTCTTTGTTATGTTTGTATGGTCCTATTGGATGACAATTTTCACATCTCCCGCTTCCCCCTCCAAAGAGGTAAATTTAATGTTGGTAAATTACCAAATGCTGTAGCTAATTATGGAATTATTTTCCCTGTGTTACCTTTGTTAAAACTTTATTACATAATGCATTTGTTCTGTTTCCGTTCATGAACTTGCTTGGTGACTCCACATTGTGAATGTGAGTCGTCAGCCTGGTCTCAGATACAGCCCACTGACTTAGCATACTAAAAGACTGATCATAGCTTACTTAATACTGGTGTTTTTCTGCCATGCTATATAGTCTTAAAGACATACATTTTTTTACTGGACTAAAAAATCTTAGGGGACAGAATTGAGTTAGAAAAGTAGAGTGTATTTTTGGACACCTTACCATATTTTCTCAGGCCTGAACAAATATGCTGCAACTAAAGAAAGTTTTAATTGTGGGAAACAAATTGTCTAGGCTGTTGTTTGTTATACTTTAATATGGCTAGTGTTTCTTCTAATTTGAGGTTCCACTGGGAAAATAATGTGAATAAATATTTATGTAGAGTAAATTTTAAGACCAGTATGTTTCTCTTGCCTTGACGTAGCTGACTGAAATCTGGTATAACTAGATGGCTAAGAATGTACCCTCTGGTGTTAGGATTATCTGAGTTTGATTTTCTGCTCTAACACATTACTTAATGTCTCTGAGCCTCTGTTTTCTTATTGGAAAATGGAGCTAACCGTAGTGCCTGTTTCTGTAAGATGTTTGTGAGGATTAAGTGAGATTCATTCACATAAAGCTTTTAACACAGTACCTGCCCCATGGTTGGCAATCAAATATTAGGTGATGATGATAATTATTTCCACTCATAAAATTCATCAAAATTTGTTAAAAATTATAGACCATATGTTTAAAATAATACCAACTTCCCTTTAACTTTTTATAAAACATATATACATAAAAGTATATATAAGTGTATACCTGATGGATTTTCACAAACCGAACCTTGAGCAACCACCACCAAGTTGAAGAAACGGAACATTACCAGTGTCTCATAAGCGTCCTCATGCTCCCTTCCAGCCATAAAACCCACTGTCCTGCCCCCTAGTGGCATCAGTTTGTTTTGCCTGGTTTTGCACTTTACATAAATGGAATCATATACTCTGTGTTTGTGTCTCTGGCTTCTTTCATTAACATTCTTTTTGCATATTCATCCATGTTGTTGCATATACTTGTGGAGCATTCATTCTCATTGTTTAGTATTCAGCTGTGGTAAATAATAGTTTATTTAACTGCTTTGTTGTTGATGGGCAGGGGCATTTGGGTGGCTTCCAGTGTAAGGCTCTTATAAAGAGGGCTTCTATAAACATTCTGTTGCATATACCTGTGTATATACTTACATATATAGAGAGAGAATTCTTTTGGGTAGGTGCCTCAGATTGGAATTGCTGGATCATATGTTGTGTGTACATTCAGCATTAAGTAGAAAATGCCAAACAGTCTTTTGCACATTTTTTTTCTATTGGATGCTTTTGTTTTAAGGGGTAGTGAAATCAGTCAAACGTAGTGTTTCTTAAAATATATTCGTCAGACATTTGGTAATAATTAGTCAACTCTTAAAGTTATGTTACAAACTGCCATCCATATCTTTTTTTTTTATTTTTAAGATTGATTTATTTTTAGAGAGCACATGTGTGCAAGTGGGAGAAGCAGACTCCCACTAAACACTGAGCCCGACACAGGGGCTTAGTCTCATGACCCTGAGATCATGACCTGAGCCAAAACCAAGAATCGGTTGCTTAACCGACTGAGCCATCCAGGCGCCCCACAAACTGCCTTCTATATCTTAAGCTCCGAGTTGAACAGGAGCTAATTTTATTTAATCATTTACTACTAGTGATGGCTATTAAAAACATAGCATGTATAGAAGTAAATAGTTCTTGTTATAGGAAATAAAAAATAGAAAAAGAGGGGTGCCTGGCTGACTCAGTCATAAGAGAATGTGATTCTTGATCTTGGGGTCATGGATTCATGCCCCATGTTGGGTGTAGAGATTACTTAAATAAATAAACTTAAAAAAATAGGATAAAAACAATTGGTAATACTTTTGAGAAGCAGTATAGTATAGAGTTGTGAAGGACTCAGACTCTGGCTCCACACTGCCCAGGTTCAACTCCTGCCTCTGCTACTTGCTAGCTAGGTGGTGTTGGAGACTTGTCTTAGCTGTCTGTACCTCAGATCTCTCCTGTAGAATGAGGGTGATAGTAGTACATACCTTACAGGATTGTTATAAGTATTGAATAAATTAATAATATATGTAGTTAGTAATGTAATAATAATATATACTAAATAGTATATGTAAAGTGCTCAGAAGGATACATAGCACTTAATAAGTGCCATTTAAATATTACTTATTTTGGTGGTGGTTTGTCATATGGCATCCATTTAGCATTCAGCCAAGGGCTTAAGCCTTTACATCCACTCCATCCTTCATGCTCCCTTATTCCTAGAAGTACAACAGCTGAATACCCAGGCCTGTGTCCATTGGCCCTGCTATGGCATGCTGTGCCTTCCCTGTCATAGAACTTACCCATCTAGTTTCATAATTGCCTATTGACTTGTATGCATCACCTTATTATCAGTTTTTGAGGGCAGGGATCATTTTTATGGTGTCCTGCACTACATCCCTCTCCCCACTATTTAGCACATAGTGGGTGTTCACTATTGAATGAGTTAATTATTAAATCATCAAGGGCCAGCTAAGTTAAGATGCAGTGACAACCAAGAAAGAACAGGAGTTTATGGTTCTCTTTCTAAATAAGCTTCCAGTGTGCTGACTGAGATAGCTCCTTACAGTGATTACAGAGCCGTGAGGTCGCTCCTAAAGTAACTACTAAAAGGACTCTGTGAGCTGAGAGGTTAGAACAACACTTGGGAATCAGACCCAGGGAAATTGGTTGAGTCTGAATAACAGAAACACTACATTTTTAGGAAAATTAAATTATAAATATGGGTAGTTTTTTTATCCTATTTCAGCAAGTACTTGGCACCTACTGTTTGTCAGACTGTGCTAGGGTCTGAGAATAAAAAGAACAAGAAAGACATGGTCCTTACATTTTAAAAGGAGAGACACATGGTAGATAAGTAAACAAACAAAATAATTATAGATTGTGATAAATTTAGATAACTTTAGAATAAGAACATGATATATTAAAGCATAACAATGAAAGATACTAGAGGAAAAAGCTACCTTAAGTAATATGGTCAAAGAAATCTCTGAGGAAGTGGCACTTAACCAAGACTTTTGTAAGTATCTCTTTCACTAAAGTGTTAGCTTTTTGAAGGAAGAATCTTTGTTGCTTATTGCCGTATCCCCATTGCCTAGATTCAGACCTCGTATGTGACAGGGAGATTGCTAAATATGTGAATGAGTAGATGGTAAGGAGGGGGCAGCATATGAAGAGCTGGCAGACATCTTCCATCACTAAGTGTCATCTCTAAAAAGAAAATATGGCCCCATCACTTCTCTGGTAATCCTACAGAGGTTGCCAGTCAGCTACAAGATAAAAGGTCATGCTCATTTGCATGGTACTTAGTTCATGAACTAAAATCTTACTAACTTCATCTCCATTGCTTCTTCCTGGAACTCGATAGTCAAGTAATGTTTTGCCCTGACTATACCATGCTATATTCACATCTTTTTGCTTTCTGTATGCTGCTCCCTTTTACAAGATTCTCTTTCCCTCCTTGTTTTCCTGGAAGATTCCTGTTTATCTCTCAAAACCCAGCATAGGTACCACTTCTTCCAAGAGTCTTTCATTGACAGTCCCCACCCCCTCCTAAGGGAATTTTTATCATACCTGGTAACATATTGTACTATGCTGATTTGTAAGTTATATTTCCTTTTGATATGGCCAGCATTCCTACTGGACTGTAGAAATGCACTTTTGAAGACAAGGGCTGTATTATTCATCTATGGATTCCTATTACCTGAGCAGTGCCAAGTTCTTAATTGGTACCTAATATATATTTAAATTGAACCATCTGAACACTGAATTTAAGATGATGGCATTTCATAGTTTGAATTCTGTTTTGTAGTTTTTAATGAAAACTAGATGTACAGTAATAATTTCCAAAGTCTAATCCATTTTAAATTTTGTTCCATTCCTCATCTAAAATTCTGTTGTCTCTTGAGATTTTCATTTTAAGTTTTTCATAATTTATAACATTAGTCCTTAAGGAAAAGTAATGATGTTGAGGCCTGGAATAGTACCACAGGCTAGAAATATGATAGCCTAGGGAAATCTGTTCAGATTTTACAAGGGAACTGTAAAATTTGATTGGAGCATCTCCTATCCAAATATATATTTATCATCATACCAAATGATTCTTACACTCTACTGTGAATGCTTCAGAGACACATCATGTCAGGGAAGAACTTTTAATTCAAACAAGTTACAAGTTACAATTCTCTTAAAAGAGAATGCGCCATTTTGCAAAGTAGGGAAGTATTTCAGTACTTGGAAGTATTCACGAGGGAGTGGATCTCAGAAACATTGGCTGAAGATTCCTACCTCCCTGGGAAGTTAGATAAGTGACCTCCAAAGTCTCAGTTTAAGATTATGGGAAACTTTTCTGACCTCTTTCTGTTTGTCTGTGTTACTTCTCATGCTTTAGAAGTAAATTTGGGGATTTCTTATGCCATCAAGATTTGGTTGTGGGAAGCAGTCAAGGTAATCTAAATAGACTCTTCTACATCCTAAACTGTGGTGTTTGGTCAGGTTAGAGTAACAGTCTGTAAAAAGCAAGAGCAGTTATTTTACATTAGCAATATGGAGGGAAGCATGCTAGAGTAGAACTCAAAAGACTTGTATTTTAATATCAGCTCTGCCAATAATTGTGCAATCTTAGAAAATTCCCTGAGCCTCTTGGTATCACAGTTTCCTCAGCCCAGAGTTCTTTCTACTACGATGCCAAACTGTTGCCTTGTTTGTAACAGGATAGGCTGCTAATAAGCTAATACTATTATTACTGATGATGAGGTATCAAGAGTATGGAAAGTTTTGGTAGTGAGTTAGCAGGTGGATCAAAATACTTGAGTATAAAAACTCCATTCATGACTCTTTAGGCCTTTTCAAGCAAAACCTTGCTTTTGCTTGAAAAAATTGAGAAACAGTACAGTTAAAATACAAGACATGATCAAGAGCAAGTCTCAAGCCATTTTTAGTTTAAAAGGAAATTCTGTGAAATAAAGACTGATAGAAACTGAAAGCTTTGTTTACATGAAATTAGAGGCATAAAACTGAGGGTCCTTGAGATGCTGGGATGATATGATAAGAGGAGCAACTATAAACAAGTCCTTTGTAGGGAAAATGCTATTTAAGAAATGAACTGGAGGCTGGCCACACTATGGGAATAAAAACTTAAATGGAAACTAGAAATAACATAAAGGAATTAACTCTTTGAGAAAAGGAGACTATGCTTGCTTTGACAATCCTTAATAATTTTGCAGCAAGTATTCCTATTGGTTAGCTCTTTAAAAGCTAAAACAAAGTAGTAAAAGAATGACTTGTTGACCTCACTGAAATATTTGGCCAGAAAATGGCTGGACCATGTGTCTATGATTTAACCTCCTAACCCAAAGCAAGTGAATCTTGGACATCCTTCCAAAAATTAAAATTTTCTTGACACTAATTTTCAAACATCAAAATTTTTGCTAAGAGAAAATATATATATTAAGCCCTTTTTGGTTGGTGGGTATTTAATTTTTTCTGTAAAATACAAAGATGCAAAATTTTCTAATATTTTTCCCATCATTAGTATAGAGGGCAAATATTTTTTAATCTGTCAAAGGTATGTAGTTTTGTTAAAATATACTTGATTTAGCTTCTTTAATTTGAAAAGTTTTGCCTTCATAGAAGAAAAAAATTTTTTTTTCTGTTTAGGATGAAACTTTGTTTTTCTGAGCATGATAGTTTATGGGATTAAAAAGAATTAATAGTTATTTCTCCTTTTATAGTTCTACTTGTCCAGTTCTGAAAAGGAACGTTATGAAAAGGAATTCAGCCAAGAAAGACAACAAGAAATTTTGAGAAGAGCAGCAAGGGACTTACCTATCTACACCACATCAGCTTCAAGGAGTAAGAAAAACCAGTCTTAAGCTTTCCTTGCCAAGGAATTTTTAAAATATGGTTAATCCTGCCAAGATATATCTGCATGATTTGACAGTTACATGGATATTGTGATTGCTACAGTTAACATCTGCAAGAACAAGATTTTCCTGTGTTCTGTATCTTCTGTGGTATTTCAGATGTACATACTTTTGTACATATATTGATACAGATTTTTTAAGGGGCTCACTATGAGCCTCTTTTCTCTGCATTTTTTTTTTCTAATTCAACCTCATGGCTAAAAATGTCACCTGTTACTCTTAGCAAACCATCATTTAGAAAGTCTTGTTTGATTTTGGATATTGTGTGTCATCATGGAGTCATTTTTTAAAAAATCAAGAACGTGCTAACTTAGAATGGAGAGGAGTAAAAGACACAAAGGGGAAGAGTCCTGTCAAGTTTTAAAACCTATACTCAAAGAGCCAAAATTTGAACTCAGGTTTATCTGGTTACAAAGATGTTGGTATTTCTACTCTCCCACTGCCTACATTGACATAGGTGACCCCTGCAGCACCTTCCTTTTCTCAGGGTGACAGTCTTACAATACGAATGAATTTATGAGTGGCCAGTGTAGTCACTTAAGTATAGGAAATGGTTTTAAGTTATATATTATATGCCTCGTGAGTTTTGTTCAAATATAGGATAATATAATAGCTAACAATTATTCTGTACTTTACACATACTCATTTAAAATTCACAACAACCCTTTGAGGTAGATACTATTGTCTTCATTTTACAGATGAGGAAACTGGGACACAGGGAGGTTTATAACTTGTTCAAAGCCATATGTAGAAAAATGGATTTAAATCTGGGTGCTCTGGCTCTAGAACCCACTATGCTGCTCAGCTCCGAGGGGAAATAAGAGGAGCTTTACCTTTGTATAGTTATGTGCAAGTCGTGGCTAAGGAATGTGACTAAGTTTGTACAAGATTTTAGGAGGGGATATTTGACTGACTTAAATTTTTCATGCATTTAATACTATTCTTTTTGCATGACTAATATATTGCTGTATATAACGAAAACATGAATTTCAAACCAGACCCAAGCTTTTCCAGTACTAGTGTAGTGAGAGTCATTAACTTTCTAAGTTCTTGTTTCCTTATTTTATTTTTTATTTTATTGGTTTTTTTGGTTTTGTTTTGTTTAGTTTTTTGAGAGAGAGAGTGCAAGTGTGGGGGGCAGAGGGAGAGCAAGAGAGAGAATCTTAAGCAGTCTCGATGCCTGGCGTGGAGCCCAGTGTGGGCTCAATCTCACAACCCTGAGATCATGACCTAAGCCAAAATCAAGAGTCAGATGCCTAACCGACTGAGGCCCCCAGGTGCCCCTTTGTTTCCTTATTTTAAAATGAAGGTAAGAATATCTACATCTTTAGGTTAGTGGCAATATTAAATGAGATACATAAATGAGATATATACATTTAGTATAGATCTTGGTATTAATAATAAATTTTCAGTAAATGATTAGCTGATATAAAATAATCCTTTTTTATATTCAGTTATGAAAAGTCTGATTTATAATAATTATTTCTACTTATAGTTCTGTAGATTAGATGTTCTTAACTCAAAGTCCAAGACTTCAGAGAATTTATGAATCCTGAGATGATATGCAAAGTTGTGGGTACATGTAGTGTTCAAAAGTACCCCATTCATACCAAGATAATCTGATTTTCAGAGCAGTATGTGTGCCCTGAAGAGTTAATAGCCACTGATGTAACATCTTTACACTAAGACTTTCCTCTACTCTGAATAATACCCTTCTTCTATTCAATATTATACCAGAATTATGCTAACCACTTTACTGGTGATTATTTAATCCTCAGAACAACTCTGAGGGAGGTGCTGCACTTGTCTTCCTTTTAGAAATGAAGAAATGAGGCACAAAGTAGGTGTCCAAAGTCCCCGAGTGATAAGATCTGGGATTTATAACTTACCTTCTGACTACAGGGAGAGTCCCTGCTCTTGAGCACCATTTTATACTGCGTTTGTATTGCTTAGAATTCTAAACTTTGGGAGTTTTTATCTTTTTTCTTATTATAGAAATGATAAGCATTCATTCTTTTAAAAAACAAAATTACGGAAATACATATTATAGAAAGTAGCCTTTTAATAGAGCAGAGACGAGTGAAAGTGATAGAGCTGCCTCCACACGGAGGAGGGGTGGGGGGCTTTTCACCCAGTTCCTTTTTGGGCTTTTTTGAACCATGTGGACAAATTATTAGCTATTCAGGAAACAAAATGAGTCTTTCTAGACCTTCTCCCTCCACAGTGTGGATCCAACCGACATCTCTCTCTAGCTTTGTCCCACACTGTTTCCTTGCATCACCTCTGTGCTAAAAGCACTCTTGTCTTTCCCCACCTTTTTTATTCTTTTTCTCTGCTTAGAACAATTATTTTTTCCTCTCTAAATCCAGTTTAAAGGTTTAATTCAATGTCTGCTTCTTTTTACTCATTTCTATTCACTTGAGCAAGAAGTGATTTTTATTTTTTTAAAGATTTATTTATTTATTTGAGAGAGAGCGCACGGGAGCATGTGCATGCGTGCATGCAGTGGGGGGAGGGGCAGAGGGAGAGGGAGACCAGCAGACTCCCCGCTGAGTGGGGAGCCCGACATGAGGCTCCATCCCAGGACCCTGAGCTCATGACCTGAGCCAAAATCAGGAGTCAGTCACTTTAACTGACCGAGCCACCCAGGCGCCCCTAGGAGTGATTTTTAAAGTCTGCTCTGAACTTTTCAAATTCTTACCTTGTAGGTCACAAATCACTGCCTCATAGTTACTTCTGTTTATGTCACTTACTCGACCTTATTCTAAGACTCTGGCAGTCAGGAATTTTTCCCATGGTCTCTAACAAAGTGTCTCGATTAAATAGGCCCTCAGTAGGTATTTGTTGAATGAACCTCTTCCTGGGTATTCTTATTGGCTGTTTATTCACTTTTTGAATGTCATTCTCATGCAGAGGCCATGGTAATCTTATCTGTATTGTGCCAGTTTTAGTATATGTACTGTCAAAGCAAGCACTGTTTATGCACTTTTAAATGTCCCTAGTTTTCTCTCCTTCACTGATTTTCCCCATCATAGTCTGACTTTGTATTTTATCAGAAATAATTTTTTTAAAGGTTTTATTTATTTATTTGACAGAGAGAGAGAGCACAAGCAGGGGAGTGGCAGGCAGAGGGAGAAGCAGGCTTCCCGCCCAGCAGGGAGCCTGATGCGGGACTCGATCCTAGGACCCTGGGATCATGACCTGAGCCGAAGGCAGACACTTAACCAACTGAGCCACCCACGAAATAGTAATTATTATTATCATCCTCGTAACACCTGCTTTATTGAGAATCTCATATGTTCCAAGAGATTTATATTTAATCTGCACAATAGTCCTTTACACTTGGTATTATTTGCACTTACAGAAGAGGCAGTTGAGGCTCATGGAAAGTTAAGTTACTGACCCAAGGTCACAAGCTAGTAAGTGGGAGAGCTAGCATCCAACCTAACTGGTGACAGAGTCCCTGCTGCCAGTGCACCTTTACAAACTGGCTTTTCTAGAGCATATCAGTTTCCTCTCGGTATCTGTGTTCTTGTCCTTTTTTTTTCTTAATGTTTATTTATTTATTTGAGAGAGAAAGAGTGCAGGCTTGGGGGTTAGAGGGAGAGAGAGACTTTAACAGACTGAGCTGAGCGTGGAGCCCGACACAGGGTTCGATCCCACAACCCTGAGATCAGGACCTGAGCTGAAACCAAGAATCTGCAGCTTACCTGACTGTGCCACCCAGGCACCCCTTGTCCTTTGTTATATTTGCATAAAGATTACTGACCTTTTTCTTCTCTTCTCCCCCAGTTTGCTCCTATAACACTTGCGTCTCCACTTAATAAATCACAACCAGTTTCTTCCCTCTGTTCCCAGGTATATGTCAAAGTATATCTCTCCTAAAAACAAGTTTGTTCGGATTCTCTTCTAACCGCCATTGTATTTTCTCTTCCCTTTGAGTTAGATCCTCTTATAAGTTGTCTGCACTCAAGTCCTCTTTTCCTTCCTAGCTAATACCAGGCAACTGGCTTCCATTATCCCTACCCAAGTTCAGTGATTTTTGTCATTCTGGCTTCTTGAAAAGCTTTCTTCTTTGTGCTTTTCTATTCTAGTTCTGTTTCTTAATCCTTGAATGATTATTCTTCCTCCTAAATTTTTTTTTAAAGATTTTATTTATTTGAGAGAGAGAGAGAGAGAATGAGAGAGAGAGAGAGCACATGAGAAGGGGGAGGGTCAGAGGGAGAAGCAGACTCCCTGCTGAGCAGGGAGCCCGATTGCAGGACTCGATCCCGGGACTCCAAGATCATGACCTGAGCCGAAGGCAGTCGCTTAACCAACTGAGCCACCCCGGCGCCCACCTCCTAAATTTTTTTTAATTTTTCTGTTTCTTAACCTCACAAGGGTGCCTTGCCCTTATTCTTTTCATACCGTTCTTCGGCTTTTGTTTTCACCTCTGGAATTCTGACACTAGGATATTGTGATTATTAGTTTATTGTGTCTCAGTTTGTTTTCTTTAGTAGTTTTCAGAAATGAGTTCACTTTTCTGAATATGAATTAAAACAGATTCAAGGATATTGTCACACTAGTGCTCATTTGCGTTCCAGACCCTTTCTTGTATGTGAGGCAAAGGGGTGGAGTTGCAGCTGCACACCAGGATCACTTGTCTACCGAGAAGCCTACAGTCTAGCTGCACAAGGCTGCAGCATTCTTCCTGAGGTTTCAGAGGGAAGAATCTGCGGACCTCTCCCCCAGAGCACCCTGTAGCCATTACTCAAGGCTTCATCCCTCTCGGTGTGTATCTACCCATTCAGCATCTCCAGCGTGGCTCATTTTCTAGGTTAGTTGCACTGACATGTCTGTTTTCTACGTGTATCCATGGGACTGGGTGAGCTTACAATCCTCCTACTCCATCACCTTCCTGGCTCCCACCAGAATAGCTGTCCTTGAGTTACCTATTACCCAAACCTACAAACCCAAATAAAACTGGATTCATCAATTCAAAATTTAATACCATCAAACAATATTTGTCACGTGGTAGAAACTGTCTAAATATTTGTTGAATGAATGAGAGAATGAATAAATGAAAAACATCCTGCCCCACTCTCCCTGCTTCCCCCAGACTGAGCTTATTTCTGCCGTTGGCAGCCTTGTTCATCTCAGCACCCGATACTAGAAACTGAAGTTTACTGATTGCTCCTTTTTCCTTGGTTCTTCTATCTACTCCATCATCAGGATCCTTCAAAAGTCTTCCTCAAAGGTCTGTTCGGTTTTGTCTCATCTCAGGGCAAAATTCTCATCTCAGAATTTTGAGTGGAAGTATAGAGGAAAAAGAAAATAAGATACTCCTGATCCTCATCTTACCACTAATTCAGCTATATATAGCTTTGGGCAAATTACATTCTCTTGATATTGGTGTGTTTTTCATCTGTAGAATGGAGATATCAACTAAGAGATTTCTGTGGTCCTTTATAGCTTTACTTTTTCTACGTTGTATGGTTTTATCTCCCTCGTGTCCAACCGAGGTGAGGCGTTATAGAACACACCCTCAGTAAACTATAGCTTATTCTTTTAAGTGGATATTTATATACATTTCATCCATCTTAAAGATATTTTTGTTGAAATAACAGAAGTAATACATGCCATGATTTAAAAAAAATTTTTTTTTAGGGCACCAGATGAAAAGTGAGGGGCGCCTGGGTGGCTCAGTTAAGCATCCAACTCTTGATCTCAGGGTCTGACTCTTGATCTCAGCTCAGGTCTTAATCTCAGGGTCATCAGTTCAAGCCCTGCTTTGCACTCCATGCTGGGCATGGAGCCTACTAGAAAAAAAGAAAGAAACGTGAGTTTACCCTTCACCCTAGCACTACTCTCCAGGGGCACCCTGTGTATCTTCGCAGGAATTTTTTATACTTGGCAGAGTATTGCATAATTTATGTACAATTAATATATTTTAACAACTAGAATAAATAGATCTTAACCAATACAAATTTGGTTACCTGGATAGTGCCTTTTAGCAGGTATAACTTATAACATTACTTCAAAATAACACTTTGTCTCTCTTATATGTTAATTCACATCTGGAAGGTGGGTGCATTTTATTGGGATATGTAAAGAAAAAAATATGTGTTCTTATTCCCCTTAGAGATGTGAAACATGCCACATATCCATACTGTTCAACAATTTGCTTTTTTTCCATGTGATATATTTGCATTTTTCCAACTTAGGGTACATGTGTATTTTGTATGGAAAATTCTTGTTAAAGTCTTCATAGTATTCTACTGTATGGATATATCAAAATGCTTTGCCATTTGGATAATTCAAGTTACTCATAGTATTTTGTTATTAAAAACAATGCTATAGTGAACATGTCTATAGAGTTTTCTAGAAGTAGAAATCCTGAGTCAGAGAACATATACATCTTAAATTTTCATTGATACTGCCAAATTTCCTTCCAAATAGATTGTAATACAGGACATGATTCATGCACTTTTTAGAGGGTATACTTAATTTAAATTTTTATTTGAACCTATTTTCTATGCTATTACTATGTTTGTTAGGATCACAAGTAACAGGCAACAGCTTCAGCTTTTTAACTCCTTTCACCCCAAAAAGCTACCAAAAAATATGAAATGGTGTCAAATTGGTGGGTATTTCCTGTATTTGAAGGGCAGGACAACAAGAAAGAACTGGAACCCATAATTGGAAAGCCAAAACTGGGACTCTGTGCAGCTTATTTCATCTTGTTTCTGTGTATCTGTTTCATTTTTAACAATATCTCCCTGCAAACAAGTTTTTATTTTTTATCCAGTTCACATGGCAAAATATCACCATTACATGTTATCCAGTTGCAGCAGCACGCAGCCATAACTCATTCTCAGTCCCAGTGCTGAATCCATAGGAGAGAGAGAGCATGAACTAGAAGCAGGGAGGGTGGTCTGAACTCATTTTCCAGAGAAGGAGAGAGTGGCTTATAGATCAAGCAGATACCTCCAAAGAAGCCATTTACAATATCAAGTAGAGTATTTGCCATTTAAGTGCTTTAAATCTATAAATGTTTCAACTATTTGTGAAAGATCAATAGTAATTTGCCTTGTTGCCAAGTCAGTACAGTTTGTTTGCTTTACAGGCCATCATATAGAGAACAATTAGCGTCTAACTATAATGTTATTATTCTCTTATTCATCCATAATAATGGTTTTTAAGGTACTTTTTGATTTGTGAAGTCTTGGGACATTTCCCTCATGAATCTCAAAAATCTATTTGTCACTTATTTAAATTTCAAAAACTGAAACTTAAGGTTCTGTACGATGTACAGACTCTGATGGAACTCTTATTCCAGTGGACTTCTCTTGAAAATTTTTTTTTAATCACAGTATTTGAGCTGAATTGGGAAAACAAGTCTCACTTGATCGGATTTCTTACTAATCTCTGACGTCATCTCTGACCTCCTGTTCACCCCGTTCCAGGCACACCACACCCTTCCCTGTTCTTCAAACTAAGCACGCTGCCACCTCAAGGCCTGTCCTCTGCTTGGAATCCTCTCTTTCCCAATGTGACTTACTAACCACCTTCCTTCAATTTCAGTTTTCTCAAATGTCTCTGAAATTACAGTATACAATATCCCAATTCCCTTTCCCTGCTTTATTTTTCCTATTAGCACCTATCACTAATATACTGTTTATTTTCTTAACTTATTTAGTACTCCCCATCTTCTCCAGAAGAATATAAGTTCCGTGAAGGCAGGGATTTAAGCCTAGAAGAGTATCTGACACCTAATAGGTGCTCATGTTTTAAATGAATGAACATATAAATTGGGCAGCAGTAACATATGTTAGAATTGAGTGGGAAGAAGTTCGGGGTTGTTTGTTTTTAAAAAATGTTGTCTTGATTTTGCTATTTGGGATAGGGATGGGAGATAAAAGGTTGTGTTTTTCTTGAAAAAGCTATTTTATAATGTTAAAAACAAAATCCCACAGGGTGCCTTAAAAAGTTTAAACACATTCATTTTGATATTTTAGTATAGACAATGTATTTTGGTAGGAAAAAAAGCTTGAATCGGGACTTCATAAATCTGAGTTATGCTACCTAACTAGGTGTTTGACCTTGTGCAAGTCACTTACGTGCTATAGATCTCCTTTTTCATCTGAAAATTGCTGGGCACTGTTCTATTTCTGAGGTTTCCTTCTACCTCTTGACATTTTGATTTCAGAAGCTCTCTAATGCATTTTGGTATTATTTTAAAATTATTAGTTATCAATTTCACAGAATTATTTGTAAAAGAAATGAAAGCAAATTTTATAGTCAAATTAACTAAGCTTATATTCTTAAATGTAGCCATCAGATATTGTGAAAGATGTCAGTTGATTAAACCTGACCGGGCACATCACTGCTCAGCATGTGACATGTGAGTATTACTTGTTTGTTTCTTTTTAACCCTAGCACTGGAAATTGGTGACAGGAGCATGGAAGGGGAAGGAATATTTCATATGCTTTATACTTAGCAAGAACACTGTATCCTCTCCCTTTATTTGCTATGTATGCTGGGCTAACAAAAATATTTATGTAAGCTAGAATATACTTTGAAGTAATCTTGATTAACAGTTCCTGTACTAGTTGATAGAATATACTTCCTATGCTTATGCTTAATATAATATTGATGAGCAAGTAAGTAATAACCCCCTTGAGAAAGATAACTTTATTTCCTGGATTAAAAAGACTCATTGAAAAAAAAAAAAAGACTATCATGACAATTTTCTTATTTTTATTGTTAATATTAAAACCTAACAAACCACAAAAATATTGTTTTCAATTACCATCTGTGACATTGTTCCCAGAAAAATTTGATTTTTTTTTTTTGTGCCCTTGTGAGAACGTAGTGTGTTGAAGGAAACATCCATAGTTTGGGAATCTCTACTAGTCCTTGAACTTTAGTTAGACAGGCTGTTTAACATTCTGGGTATTAGTTTATTCATTTCCAATATTGCAGCAGTCACCTCTTATCTGCCTGGGGATCTATTCCAAGACCCCCAGTGCATGCCCGAAACTGGGTAATACCAAACCCTACATATACTATACATACATACCTATGATAAAGTTTAATTTATAAATTAGGCACAGTAAGAGATTAATAACAATAGCTAATAATACAATGGAACAATTATAGCAATATACTGTAATAAAAGTATGTGAATGTGGTCTCTCTCTCAAAATGCCTTCTACTATACTCACCCTTATTGTGATGAGATGAAGGGAGGTGAATGACATAGGCACTGTGACATAGCATTAGGCTACCATTGACCTTCTGAAGTGTCAGAAGGAGGATCATCTGCTTCTAGACCTTGGTGACTGTGGGTAGCTGAAACCAGGGGAAGCTGGATATGGGAGTGACTATGGATAAGGGGGACTGCTTGTATTTGAGATGTTCTGTAGTCTAACTTTATACAAATCTAGATTGCATGTATTGGTGATGAGGCAAATTTGGAGGGTTTTTTAAATTATAAAAGTACAGTAGTGCTTATCCATGGAATACAATTTTGTAAATTGTATGGAAAAAATAACCATCTATAAGCCTATCATTGTTAATATTTTAACGTATTTGCTCCTAAAGTTTTATTTTTATGTGTTGCATGTGGCTAAAATAGCACAGGGATTTCTGTATTTCATTTTATCTCCCTCAGTAATTTGTAAGCTGGACCTATCTAATTTACCCAGTGCTATATGTACTATATCATATTAAAATGTCATTTGGTATGGTTCAAGGCATTTGGCTATGCTCAGCTAAATTCCCAGTATTAAAAATCATCTCTTAACTATAAAAGGCCTTGTGGAAATACCAGAACTTTTCTCTAACCTAATGTTTACTAGGTTCATTTTTCTTTTCTTTTTTTTTTTTCGAGAGGGAGCTGGGGAGAGAGAGAGAGAGAGAGAGGCAGAGGGGGAGGGAGAGAGAGAAGCTTAAGCAGGCTCCACCCCCAGCATGGAACCCAATGCAAGGCTCAGTCTCACAACCCTGAGATCATGACCTGAACTGAAATCAAGAGTCGGATACTTAACCCACTGAGCTACCCAGGCACCCCTCGGTTGGTTTTTCTAAGATATTATTTGTAAAGGTAAAAATTTAAGCCAAAGAAAGAGAAAAGTATCAGAAATTAAAATTAGGGGAATTTTTATGCAAAGATTTTCTTATGTTTGTTTTTTAGATGTGTTCTTAAGATGGATCATCATTGTCCTTGGTATGTATAAAAAAGAGGAAATCACATTGTGGGTAGAGAGGTGGGAAGGAGAGAATTGAAAGTAATTTACCTCAGCATTCCTAAATTTTGAAGGTCAGTTCAATTACTCGATTACTCAAGGTTGAATTAGTCCTACTAAATGCATATTTATGTATGTACATGTTTATATTAAGTGTATTCCTTTAAATATATACTCTGATGTTAGTAACCCAAGTAAGTATATATTAAGAATTAACATTAAAATTCCAAATTCCTCATAGAATTTATTAAAAACACACATCCACAATTAAGACACTGCTCCCTACTTCCCAAATGGCCCATTTCCAAGTAATAATAGTTAAGTTTTTTATCTGCCATATGTATTATTATTGTTTTTATTATAGTTAAAAAATAACATTAAAACTTACCATCTTAACCATTTCTAAGTGTACAGTTCAGTAGTATTAAATATGTTCATATTGTATAACCAATCTTCAGAACTTTTTCATTTTGTAAAACTAAAATTCTATACCCATCACCGCCCCCCTAACCCCTGGCAAACACCATTCTGTTTTTTGTTTCTGAGAGTTTGTGATTTGTCTTATTTTTACAGTGTGACTTTCTTTATTCTTCTAGGGTGAATAACTGTGTGGGATTTTCTAATTACAAATTCTTCCTGCTGTTTTTATTGTATTCCTTGTTATATTGCCTTTTCGTGGCTACAACAGTTTTACAGTACTTTATAAAATTTTGGACGGTAAGTCTGTTTTCTATCTTAAAACATATACTTAAAACTTTTTAAGATGCTATATTCATAAAGAATTCCTTCATTCTTTATTATAAGTAGATGTACTTTATTTCAATTTTACTAGGTAGAATTTGATCAGAAAGCATTTTTTTGGATTACAGAAAGCATTTTAAAGGATTACAGTTTACCTTCATATGTTTATTTGCAAATAAATGGATATTAAATAGAATATAGTGAACTTTTTTTTAGTGAGCCAAACTATTTTCAGCAATATTCTAACAATAGACCTATCAATTTTAGGGAAGTAATTGCTTTTCCTTGAGTTGAAGAGACTTACTGCAGTTTACAGTGATAAAAGTGAAATTGCCAACACCCCAAATAACCACAAATCTGGTTCCTGCCTCTGTAGATGTTAATCCTTTTTCTGTCATAAGTTGTTAATGTTTTTTTCCACATTTTCAATTTATATCTTATAACCCTGTTTTCTTTCATTTTTATCAAATCCAAGTTTTTTATTTTTAAAGCAGTATTTTTATGATTTTTTTTAAGATTTTATTTATTTATTGTAGAGAGAGTGCGTGCGTTGCATGCACAGGAGCGGGGGCAGGGGGAGGGAAAGGAACAAGGAGACTCTTCGCTGAGCGCGAGCCCTACAGGAGGCTCAAACTCATGACCCCGGACCCTAAGATCATGACCCCAGCCAAAATCAAGAGTCAGATGCCCAACCAACTGAGCCACCCAGGTGCCCCTAAAGCACTGCTTTTAAATAAATAATCAGAAAATCAGAAATAATAGGAGCGCCTGGGTGGCTCCGTCGATTAACTGTCTGCCTTTGGCTCAGGTCATGATCCCAGGGTCCTGGGATAAAGCCCTGCATCTAGCTCCCTGCTCGATGGGGAACCTGCTATTCCCTCTTCCTCTGCCCCTCCCCCCCTGATGTGCACTCTCTCTTTCTGCACTCTCTCAAATTAATAAATAAAATCTTTTAAAAAATAAAAGTAGTACTTTTCATTTATGATTTCTGGCTTTAGTCTATTCACTGTATATTTACACAATATTCACCCAGGTTTTCCTTTGGTATTTTAGTTGTTTTTGTCTTCACATTTATTTTTTAACTTTTTTTTTTAAAGATTTTATTTATTTGAGAGAGAGAACGAGAGAGAGAGAGCATGAGGTGGGGGAGGGTCAGAGGGAGAAGCAGACTCCCTGCTGAGCAGGGAGCCCAATGCGGGACTCGATCCTGGGACTCCAGGATCATGACCTGAGCCAACTGAGCCACCCAGGAGCCCTTGTCTTCACATTTAAATCTTTGATTTTGAAGACGGCATTATTGTAGTCAAAAAGTACATTGTATTTACTCTTCCTAAAAATCCTGTTAAGAAGTTTTAAAATGTAGCTTTTATAATTGAACCGTTCAGGTGTGGTGAAGCCAGCAGATCAGGAGATGATTTCTATTGAAAAGACAGTTTGTTGCTCACAGTTTCTGAGGGAAGGGGCATACCACGCCATGCAGGGCCACACAGGGGAGCACCAAGCAGGGTAACCAGATTTAGGTTAGCCAGTTTGCATAATATCTGTGGTCTCTGGGCATAAGGGTTGTTCCTTGGTTATCTGTATGTATGCTTGGAATGGTTATGGCAGGGAAATTTTGCCTCCCAGAGTGTAATAGTCCAATAGAGGAGGTGATATGGAGTATGAACTCTGGATTGGTTAGTTTGTGTATGAGAGGTTTATTCCTTGCTATCACTTAAGAACTGGTTAGCTGTGAGAGAGGCAGTCTCTCTTCAGTCAGCAAGGCCTCAGATGCCAAAGCATCAAGAATACAGAAAATAAGGGGGGCCTGGGTGGCTCAATCAGTTAAGCATCCAACTTTTGATTTTGGCTCAGGTCATGATCTCAGCATTGTGAGATCAAGCCCCATGTTGGGCTCCACACTGGGCATGGAGCCTGCTTAAGATTCTCTCTCCCTCTCCCTGTGCCTCTTCCCCCTGCCCCACACACACACTCACTCTCTATCTCTCTCTCAAAAATAAAAAAGAATACAAAAAATAAGAAAATATAGTTATTGCAGAAGGAGCTATTATTTTCAATAATTTTCAACATTGAAAACTGAGGTTAGAGGAGTTAGGAAACTAGCCAGAATTTGACCATAGATATCTCTGTTTCAGCATCCAAATACTTTTCACTGTGAGTTGCTATTCCTAGTCATACTTGAGAATTACATAATTAAAGCCTCAAGTCATCAAGCACAATTATTTTTCCAAGAAATATCTAATACATTTTAGAAGGACTTGCACTAAAACGTTGAATTTTTAAACTTGGGTATTTAAAACCCAGGGTATGTATACTAGTACTTACAGTTCCTTTGTGTGTTCCTTTATTAGAAAAGAGCACCCCAGTTCTATGTGGTCTCAGCCCAATGAATTTTGGGTTCTGTTGTTCCCCTACTTCTAAGCATCTTTGTTCAGTTTACAGCCTACGTAATCCTACTCAGTGGGCCTATTTAAATGAAGAGGATTCAGTGCCAGATGAATAAAGTCTAAATTACAGAATTTCACATTTCTTTACCAGAAACTTCAGCAGTGTTTGCCTATATTAATTAAAGAATAAATATTTTGGGGGGTGACTGGGTGGCTCAGTCAGTTAAGTATCTGACTCTTGATTTCAGCTCAAATCATGATCTCACGGTCATCAGATTAAGCCCTGAGTTGGGCTCCATGCTGAACATTTCCGCAACCTGCTTGGGATTCTTTCTCCCTTTCCCTCTACCCCTCCCCCACTCGTGTGCATGCTTTCTATCTCTAAAAAAAAAAAGAATAAATATTTTTAAAACTTTTTTCAAACTTGTCATGAGTCAGGAAAGACTAGTAAACTTAAATCTTTTTCTTCATCTAACAAATATTTATTTAGTACCTACTATGTGCCAGGCAGTGTTCTAGGCACTTTGGATATATCAGTGAACAAAACAGAGTCCTGTTTTTATAGAACTTACTTTTAAGAAGAGGACAGCATATAAATGTAATAAATAAGTAAATCCTACTGTATATTAGAAAGTAAACACTATGAAAAAAAGCAAAAGTAGAGTAGGGTAAGGGATGTGCCAAGTGTGTGTGGGGTGAGTATGACAGGGGACAGATAGAAGTGTTAAGAGAGTGATCGGGATAGACCTGCTCGGTAAGACAATCAGATTTGAGCAAAGACTTGAAGGAAGTTAGTGGACACATGGGAGCACCTAGATATATAGAGCAAATATTAACAGACCTAAAGAGAGAAGTAGAGAGCAATACAATAATAGTAGAGACTTTAATACCCCACTTTCATCAACGGATAGGTCATCCAGACAGAAAATCAATAAAGAAGATTGGCATTAAAGTGACACATTAGACCAGGTAGACTTACCAGACATAAAGAACACTCCATTCAAAAGAAACAGAAAACACAATGATATAAAACCAGAAATCAATTACAAAAAAGAAAACTGGAAAACTCACTAATAAGAATGATCTAAAGTAACCTAACTTCACATCTCAAGGAACTAGAAAAAGAACATACAAGGCAAAGTTAGTACAAGGGGGAAAATAACAAATCAGAGTGGAAATAGAGACTAAAAAGACAATAGAAAAGATCAATGAAAGACCTGGGGTTTTTTTTAAAGATAAACAAAATAGTCAAACCTTTACCTAGACTCACCAAGAAAGAAAGAGGACTCAAATAAAATCAGAAATGAAAGAGAAAACATATCTGATACCACAGAAATACAAAGGATCATAAGAGATTACTATGAACAATGATACACCAGCAAATTGGACAACTTAGCAGAAATGGATACTTTCCTAGAAAATACAACCTACAAGACTGAATCATGATGGAATAGAAAAATCTGAAGAGATTAATTGCTAGGAAGGAGATTAAATCAGTAATCAGTAACTTCCCAATAAATGAAAGTCCAGGACCAGATGGTTTGGTAGTGAATTCCAGTCCTCAAAATCTTCCAAGAAAACAGAAGCGGGAACACTTCCAAATTCATTTTATGAGGCCAGTATTACCCTGATACCAAAAATGGACAAGGGCACTGCAAGAAAAGAAAATTATGGGCCAATATCCATGTTGAACAAAGATGTAAAAATATTCAAAAAAATATTAGCAAGCTGCATTCAGCAATACATTAAAAATTAAAAGGATCATACACTATGATCATGTGGGATTTATTCCAGGGATGCAGGTATGGTTCAGCATCTTTAAATCAATCAGCATGACATACCACATTAACAAAATGAAGGAAAAAATCATATCATCTCAATAGATGCAGAAAAAGCATTTGATAAAATTCAGCATCCATTTTTGGTAAAAAATTCTTAAGTATAGAGGGAACATCTCAACACAGTAAGACCATATATGACAGTCCCACAGCTAACATCATACTCAGTGATGAAAAGCTTAAAGCTTTCCCCCTAAGATTAAGAACAAGACCAGGATTCCCACTCTTGCTGTTTATTCAACACAATATGTATTGGAAATCCTAGCCACAGCAATTAGACAAGAAAAAGAATTCAAATAAGAAAGAAGTAAAGCTGTCTATTTGCATAATACATAATATTATATTTGGAATACCCTGAATTCTCCACCAAAAACTGTTAGAACTAAGAAACCAATTCAGAAAAGTTAGAGGGTTCAAAATCAGTTGCGTTTCTATACACTAGTAACAGACTATCAGAAGAGAAATTAAGAAAACAATCCCATTTATACTTGCATCAAAAATGTCAAAATACTTAGGGAATAACTTTAACCAAGGAGGTGAGAGACGTGTACATTGAGAACTATAAGAGATTGATGAAAGCAATTGAAGGCACAAATTCATGGAAAGTTAATCTGTGCTCATGGACTGGAAGAATTAATATTGTTAAAATGTGAAGAATTAATGTTAAAATGTCCATACTACCAAAAGCCATCTACATAATCAGTGTAATCCCTAAGTTCCAATGACATTTTTCACAGAAATAAAACAAACAGTTCTAAAATTTCTAAAACCACAAAAGACCCCAAATAGCCAAGGCAGTCTTGAAAAAGAAGAACAAAGCTGGAAGTATCACACTTCCTGATTTCAAACCATATTACAAAGTTATAGTAATCAGAACAGTATGGTATTGGCATGAAAACAGACACATAAATCAATGGAACAAAATAGGCCAGAAATAAACCCATGAATCTTTGGTCAGTTAATTTACAACAGAGAGCCAAGAGTCTACAGTGGGTAAGGACAGTCTCTGTAATAAATAATATTGGGAAAAATGCACAGCCACATGCAAAAGAATGAAACTGGATCCCTATCTTACATCATACAAAAATTCCAAATGGACTAAAGACTTGAACATAAGACCTAAAACCGTAAGTCTCTTAGATGTTGAAAACATTGGCAGTAAGCTCCTTCACATTGGTCCTGGTGATGATTTTTTAGATTTGGCACCAAAAGCAAAATAACAAAAGCAAAAATAAACAAGTGGGACTACATCAGACTAAGAAGCTTCTATGCAGCAAAAAAAACCCAACAAAACAAAAAGGCAGGTTAGTGAATGGGAGAAGATACTTGCAAATCATATATTGGATAAGGGCTTAATAGACAAAATATATAAAGAACTTCTACAACCCAATAGCCAAAAAAAAATTTTAAATGAGCAGAGGATCTGAATAGACATTTTTCCAAAGACATAGGGATGGCCAGCAGGTACATGAAAAAGTGCTCAATGTCTCTAATCAGGGAAATGCAAATCAAAACCACAGTGAGATACCAACTCATACCTGTTAGAACGGCTATTATCAAAAGATAAGAAGTAACTAGTGTTGGCGAGGATGTGGAGAAAAGGGAACCCATGTACTGTTGGTGGGGATGTAGATTGGTTTAGCCACTATAGAAACAGTATGAAGATTCCTCCAAACATTAGAACTACCATATGATCCAGCAATTCTACTTCTGGGTATTTATCCAAAGGATATGAAAACACTAACTTGAAAAGATAGGTGTAAACCCCATGTACATTGCAGCTTATTTATAATAGCCAAGACATGAAAACAACCTAAGTGTCCCATCAGTAGATGAATGGATGAAGAAAATTGTGTTTGTGTGTGTGTACACAATGGAATATTACTTGGCCATAAAAACTTAGGAAATCCTGCCATTTGTGACCACATGGGTGGGCTTGGAAGACATTACACTAAGTGAAATAAGTCAGAGAAAGGCAAATACTGTTTTTGTCACTTATATGTAGAATCTAAAAAAAAATTTTTTTGGACTCATAACAGATTGGTGATTGTCGGGGCAGTGTCAGGGGATGGGTAAAGTGAGTGAAGGTGCTCAGAATAACATTAATAAGTCCTGGGCATATAATGCACAATGTGGTGACTACAGTTAAGTATATTTGATGCTAAGTTAGTACATCTTAAAAGATCTCATCACTAGAAAAAAAGTTTTATAACTGTGGTATGGGAGTTAACTAGACTTACTGTGGTGATCATTTTGCAATGTGTACATATATTGAGTCATGTTTTACACCTGAAACTAATAGAATGTTATATGTCAATTATATCTCAATTTTTTTAAACAGTGTGATCAGGGTAGATTTCAGAAGGTAAGATTTGAGCAAAGACTTGAAAGGAGTTAGTGGACATTTGAGAGAAGAACATTTTTGAGGAAACATCTCGACTTTAGAGCAAAGGCCCAAAAGTAGGAGTGTCCCGCCATGTTTGTGTAACAGCAAGGAGGCTAGGTGGCTGGCGTAGAATGAGAGAGAATGGGACTAATGAGAAGTCCAGGCAGTGGGCCTTGGAGAGTGTTGGAGGACTGTGTCTTTCATGCCAAATGAAACAGGAGCAGAGGAGTAACATGGTCTTATTGTAATGGATCACTCTGATTGGAGCTGAAACTACACTGGAGGTCAATGATAGCACCTCTTAGAAGGCTTTTGCAGTAGTAGTGACTGAAGGTAGTAAGAAATTCTCAGATACAGTTTTGAGAAACTACTAATCAGAAGCTTTTTAATAAAAGCTATTTGCTAAAAAAATTAATTTTATTCTTTCCTAGATATAAATCTCTTTAAAAATAGTGGGAAAGTATGTATTTAAAGTGTACCTTGAATGTGCTTAAGGAGCTAAATATTCTTGTCTGTTTTCTCTTCTGTATTTTTGGAGAAAATGTTGTCAATGACCTGTAGAGAACAACATCTTAGGGTTCCTTCAAAACAAAAGATTTATAAAACTGGTGTTCAGCATAATTTTGTATAAAATTTGGTTTCTTAATACATTATCTCTATTTGTACAAACTTTGCCGCAGGAAATCTACAGAGAGTTGTCCAAAGGTAAAATAACATTATTGCCATGCCATTCTTGTGACAATTTATAGTAAATATATAGCAAATATGACATTTGCTTCACAAGATGGGAAATTAAATGAATTGCTTGATATGTTTAAAAGGTACTGTGGTTACTCTGGGAGAGAAGAGTAAAAAATGAATGTCAGAATAATCTAACGCTAAAAACCTTCATTTTATCATGTAAACAGTGTTTAAATCAAGCCAGGACCACCTCATGTTTTAGTGGAGTCTGTGATTTGCCCATGTGGTTTTATTTTAAGAGCTAACACTTAAAGGCTTCCTCTTTCTCCTATTAATAGATACTAATTTCGGGTGCTTAGGTGGCTCAGTTGGTTAAGTGACTGCCTTCGGCTCAGGTCATGATCTTGGAGTCCCGGGATCGAGTCCCGCATCGGGCTCCCTGCTCAGCAGGGAGTCTACTTCTCCCTCTGACCCTCCCCCCTCTCATGTGCTCTCTCTCTCAAATAAATAAATAAAATCTTAAAAAATAAAGATACTCATTTCTTCTAGGTTAAGATTTTGCTTCTGTTAAAATGAATTTAGCCAGGGCGCCTGGGTGGCTCAGTTAGTTAAGCAACTGCCTTCGGCTCAGGTCATGATCCTGGAGTCCCAGGATTGAGTCCCACATCGGGCTCCCTGCTCAGCGAGGAGTCTGCTTCTCCCTCTGATCCTCGTGCTCTCTGTCTCTCATTCTCTCTCTCTCAAATAAATAAATAAAATCTTTAAAAAAAATGAATATAGCCATAAGAATGGGTAACAGCAAAGCTGTTTTCATTCACTAATACCTTGTGGTAAATGTATTTACCAAAACTGCTAATTACCTAAAAAAAAAAAACTAGAAATTGAGGATAAAAAAGGTAGGAATTAAACAGCTGAGGGCATGGGGATATATGCTGGGGTGTTCCAAAAATAGAAATTAAAGAAGTACACAAATTTATCATAATTAGTGTTTGGTTAGCAGCATGTATACTTAAAATAAGCAAATATTTTAGCATAGATAAGAAAAAACCCTTGTCTATCCTGGATATCAGGGGCTTAGGAATATATGCATAAAGTACAAAAGAAAAATGTTGAGTAAAAAATGCTTCTTTTTATTTTATTACTGAATATATTACTAAAATTTTTAAATGTTTAAGAGTAATTTTTTAAATGACCCTTTCAACCTTTTATATAAGCAAGCTCCTTTGATAATGCCAATTTTCTGTTTTGGGAGATGTTGCTTTTGGATTTATTATCTGATTTTATTTTATATTTTTCATATCTGGCAAGATTTTTGGTAAATTCAGTCTTTAGGAAGAATCAAATAATATATTTTAGGGGCTGACTATTCTAAAGTTAACTCTTCTTCCTTTCTCAGAATGAACTCTCTGATACACGTGCAAAGTTCCACGTACTTTTCCTTTTCTTTGTGTCTACAATGTTCTTCATCAGCGTCCTATCACTTTTCAGCTACCACTGCTGGCTAGTTGGAAAAAACAGAACAACAATAGGTAAGGAGATTAAAAGAAATATAAATGACTATGAAATCATGAGGACAATAGTCAGATGATAAAAAAGTGTAAAATCTGTATTAAGGTTAACTATGACTAGATAAGAACAATGGGTACATAATGTAAAGTTTCAATATTTTGAAGGTTGAGGATGTGAGATTGGCATTTATATGCATTTTCAGTTGTGCATTGTATATAAAAGAACTATATAAATATTATACTTAAAAAATTATTTATTCATTTTAGAGAGCAAGAGCATGAGCAAGCAGGGGGGAGGGGCAGAGGGAGAGGGGGAAGGAGAGAAGCAGACCCCCTGCAGAGCATGGAGCCTGATGCAGGGCTCAATCTCATGACCCTGAGATCATGACCTGAGCTGAAACCAAGAGTCAGTCCCTTAACAGACTGAGCCACCCAGGCACCTCAATATGAATTTTAATAAATAAGAGCTGTTCTCTGCATTTATACAGTGCCTTTTCAAAAATCATCTATAGGGGTGCCTGGGTGGCTCAGATGGTTAGGCATCTGCCTTCAGCTCAGGTCATGATCCCAGGGTCCTGGGATCGAGCCCCACGTTGGGCTCCTGGCTCACCAGGGAGCCTGCTTCTCCCTCTCACTCTGCCTCTCTCCCTGCTCATGCTCTCTCTCTCTGTATCTCTGTGTCTCAAGTGAATAAATAAAACCTTAAAAAAAAAAATCATCCTATAGTGGCGCCTGGGTGGCTCAGTCGTTAAGCATATGCCTTCAGCTCAGGTCATGATCCCAGGGTCCTGGGATTGAGCCCCACATAGGGCTCCCTGCTCTGTGGGAAGCCTGTTTCTCCCTTTCCCACTCCCCCTGCTTGTGTTCCCTCTCTCGCTGTGTGTCTCTCTGTCAAATAAATAAATAAAATCTTTAAAAAAATAAAATCATCCTATAAAGGTGTAGACAGTAGGTTTACATGTTATATGGAGGTTCATTCTCAGAACACACACAAAAAAATTTTAAGTCATATTACAGCTTATCTTTTATTTTTTCTAAAGATTTTATTTATTTGAGGGGCGCCTGGGTGGCTCAGTCGTTAAGCGTCTGCCTTTGACTCAGGTTATGATCCCAGGGTCCTGAGATCAAGCCCTGCATTGGACTCCCTGCTCGGCAGGAAACCTGCTTCTCCCTCTCCCACCCCCCTGCTTGTGTTCCTGCTCTCACTGTCTCTCTCTCTCTGTCAAATAAATAAATAAAATCTTAATAAAAAAAGATTTTATTTATTTGAGAGAGGGAGAGCACACCCGCATGCAAGCAAAGGGGAGGGGCAGAAGGAGAGGGAATCTCAAGCTGACTCTGCACTAAGTGCAGAGCCCACTGCCAGGCTCAGTCTCACAACCCTGATATCATGACCTGAGCTGAAATCAAGAGTTGGACACTCAATCGACTGGGTCACCCAGGTGCCCTTACAGCTTATCTTTTAGCTAAAATATGTTCTTTACTTTTTTCCCCACCTTTGATTACACACTGGTGTGTTCCATGATTGAGGCTAAGGAGTAGTGTTTTTAACATGGTTAATCATTTCCATCTTTATGTCAACTATATCACTAATATCAGCATTTATTTCCATATTTTGCTGCTTTTATAAAGTGAAATATAGGGGAAGAATTCAGTAAAGTATTAAAATAATTGAACAAATATTTCCTAAATAAGAGTGGTGTGGCATTGGCTCAAACTAAGCTATTAGCCTGTAAGCAGCCACTGTGCTATAATTGAAATATTTAGGCACTGGCTAATGTAGCAAGATACGAAATAGGGATTTGTCACATTGTTTCACAGGAAAGTCAAAGACTCCTTGCCATCTAAAGCCATGTGTCTGCCAGGAGAATTGGAGGCAGATTATAATACATAAAGATGAAGACATTTTAGGGAGACTTTTAGATATGTTTATATTTGTATTATTTTAACTTGGTGTCTTACTGTGTCATGAAAAAGCTTGATGGGCTCCAGGGTAAGAATTTCTAAGCCCTTTCTTCCGCAGCTCACTCTCCATTGTGGAGCTCTCCTCCAGTTCCATCATGCCTTCATCCCTTTTCTGTGTAAATAAACTTTCTTGTATCTAGTAATTAATTTGTTATCCTTGTCACAGAGTATCCTGCCGTCCATCCTCTTACCTTTATTCATCAGTGATGAGTAAGCTTACTTACATCATAAAAGGCAGCTTACATGCAAAGTCTAGCCCTTACGAACTATGCCAATTAAAAAGGAAGAGATTTCACGTAGAAAAGCTGATTTCTTTTCAAAAATTGATAAATCTGGTAACAGTGGGCCCATTTTCCTCTCTGGCATCCTTCAGTTGGAACTGAGTAGTAGTCAACTGCTTTAGATGGGAGCTTGAACGCTTTAATTTGCCACAGTTCCAAGCCTGCTTCATTTCTTGCCCAGCCCCTTAGTTATGAGAGAGGAGTGCTTCATGGGAAACCCATTGTTCTCTTTAAGCAGTGTTCTTCAGCTTTTTTTGCCGGTGACTACAGTGAGAAAGGCATCATTTGTATTGTGACCTAGTGCATGCACACGTTTATAAAATTATATAAATAAAATAAGCAAAAATTTTACAAAACATCATTAATCTCTTCTATGTGCGATGTACTCTAATATTTTCTGTTCTAGTTCGTTAAAAAGAAATGCTGGTCGCAAAAAAAAAAAAAAATAGATTTGAAAAACACCTATTAAGGTATTTTAACCCTTATTTTGAAAAAACTACCCTGGCACACCACTTCCTTTACAGCTCACCTTCCACACCCCTGGCCCTAGGCTGTTTCTCCACTGCTCCTTCCAGAATTATGTTCTTCTGTCCTTTGAGGTATCACTTCTACCCTTCTCCGTAACTGTCCCCTACCTACCTTGAGACCATTTCCCCAATTAAAGAGTTTCTGTATTCAAACAAATGCAATCATCCCAAACAAGCAAGCTGGTCCCTTCGACGCTCATGGCCAATCATTCTCATAAACTAAACATTGAACCTTTTAATCTCTTGGAACTGAAGAGCCCCTGAAATTGTCACCTTGAACTTTCCATTCTCTGACCACTCATCATCCTTGCAGCTCTCCTTTTCTGTACTCAACTGTCCCAACCATTCCTTTCCCTTCCGGTCTCATTTCTCCCCTTTTCGATTCTAGATCCTGTAACAAATGACTTTAACAACTCTTGACAACACTCTCACACTATACCTGTCCTGGCTTTCTCCTGTAATTCAGTTGCTGATCCATGACCTGGGTTATTCCAGCTCTCCATTTTCTCCACAAGTACATCGGGGCTGTCGAAAGCTGGAGAAGGCAGTCTCACTTCCACAGCGATTGGTGCACCTACACATTTAAAGTCTCAGACCTCACTTGGGTCCTCTGCTCTATTTGGCAGTCATGTCATGTGGTTCTGAAAAAACTAGAAGTTGTCACAAGTAAATTCTTATCTTCTCCCCTTTAAAACCTCACACAGACATTTCTCCTTTCAAACCCATCACTGTCACTCTGCCTCTAACTTCTGAGGACAAATGTCTTTTCTGGCATCTAAGGTTAATCTTCAGAACTCTTCTAGAGGCTGTCTCATTTCTTCTGCCCTTACAGCTTATCTTTTAGCTAAAATGTGTTCTTTACTTTTTTTACTTTACTTTTCTACATCATCAACCTTTCCCAGTTCCTCTCTCCCTGGCTTTTTATCCTTAGCTTATAAAACATGCTAAAATAAATTGTATTTTTACATAAAGAAAAAAAACTTTTTCTTGTGAAATGTGTATCTTTCTCTAGCCTCCACTCTACATCACTTAACAGCCAAACTTGAAATAATCGTCTCTGATCACCATCTGCTTCTTTATCTGTTATTTGTTGTTCAAGATCATGCTCACATACCATCACCCCCATTCACACATGTATATCACAGTGCAGTTTTGTTAGACTTTGTTTGACTGTGGATTCTTTGGTAAGAATTTCATCTAATTTACCTTTGGATCTCAAACACCTGGTACTGTGCCATTAGGCACATAGTAAGAATTTCATAAGTAATAAATGAGTGAAGTTGCAAGAGTTAGCATATCTTTTTAAAAAGGTGAGATATAGTGAACACACTTTAGTAGATTTTTAGTAATATTAGATAATTGTTTTCACATTTTCATTTTATAAAGGTGATGAAATACTCAGAGGTGTTATTTTTTTTCCCAAATAAGTTTCAGGAATTTATCTTTTAATTATTACAAATATCTTATTTATTTTAAATTGTATTTATATAATTTTGATATCAAAGATATAAAGCAAGAAAATTGCTTTATCTTTATCTTCCATCGTATAATTTTTTAAATAGATTAACTCTTTTTTTATATATATGTACATATAACAGAATCATTCCGCTCACCCACATTTTCATATGGACCTGATGGAAATGGTTTTTCTCTTGGATGCAGTAAAAATTGGAGACAAGTCTTTGGTGATGAAAAGAAATACTGGCTGCTTCCAATATTTTCAAGGTAATGTACAAAATGCAGGTCTCAGAAATTACAGAATCTGTGATAGTCTGTCTCTCTGGTTAAATGTCTTAAGATTCAGAGAATACAGTATATAATGACATCCTTATGAGCCTTGAGAATGAAAACTCAGAACATCTTGATTATATAAAATACTTTATTTTTCATGTTTTTTATTAAATTCTCCCACAAGAGAGTTTGGGCATATATTTGAATGGAAAGTAGAAAAAAAATTATTCATAAAAATAACAATCACTCTTTTTCCTTCAAGATGAAAATAAGTTGTTTGAAGTAGAGAATCATAAGAATTTGTACTTATTAGCTATATCTTCAAAGATTCTATCACAGATATGTATTCTATTGTGTCTTAAAAGAAGACCCAACATATAATGCAATTTTTAACTTCAAATGTAAATGAAAGTATATGCTTGAGATGATTCATAGTTTCCTTTTCTCCCAAATTCCCAGCCATCTTAGGCCATCTATATACCAAAGTCATTACAGAAAAGTAAAAAATATTTGAAATTCAAGTGACATATTTATAAATGTTACGGGTTTTTTCCCATTGTTTAGCTGTATTTCCTATATTTTTGTCTGAAAATAACATTTTGCTTTCACTTTTGAAAGACATTTTTGCTTGGCATATAATTCTAGATATTGCCTCACCATCTTCTGTGTTACATTTTTTCTGACAAGAAGTTTGCACTCATTCTTTTTTTTACTCTATATGTAATGTGTCTTTTTTTCACTGGGTGCTTTTAAGATATGCTTTTTTTAAATTTTTGTTATTGTTATGTTAATCACTATATATTACATCATTTGTTTTTGATGTAAGATATGCTTTTTTAGCACTAGTTTCATGAAGTTTGATTATGATGTGCCTTGGTATATAGTTTTCTTCATGTTTCTTATGCTTGGAATTGGTTGAACTTCTTGGAACTGTGATTTTATAACTTTCATCAAATTTGAAGAGTATTTTAACCATTATTTCTTTAAATACTTATTCTGTCATCCCCACCCCCCTTCCCCATTACTATAGACTCCAGTTACATGTATATTAGTACACTTGAAGTTGTGCCACAGCTCCCTGATGCACTGTCCATTTTTTTGTTCAGTCTTTTTTCTCTGTTTCATTTGATAGATCCTATTGCTGTACCTTTAAGTGCATCAATCTCTTCTGTGTACTTTATCATCTCCTGTATTACAAGGTTTTTCCACTCTGTCTGGATAGAAAACAGACTAGTATTTTTCAAGATTATTTTCTCTATACTGAGATTTCAGTGTTGACTGGTTTTGTTTTGTCTTGTTTTTTCCTCTTTCTTTAAAGATGTTGTTCCATTAACTTCTGGCTTGCCTTTTTTTTTTTTTTTTTTTTTTTTGACAAGAAATCAGCCTCACTCTTATCTTTATTCCACTGTTTGTAAATTACCGTGTCTTTTTTTGACCGTTGACTACTTTTAAGATTTTATCTTAAAAGCCATTTGATGATTTATTTATTTGTTTATTTATTTGGTGGTTTCTTTGTGTTTAGCCTCTCTGGGGTTCATTAGGATTCTTGGATTTGTGAATTTATAGTTTTCATCACATTTGAATAATTTTTGTTATGTCTTCGCATGCTTTCCCTCCACTGGTTTTGGGGGCACTCTTAAGTATATGTTTGTTAAATTGCTTGATTGTGACCCACAGGTCATTGCTGTTCTTTGCTCCCCAGGCCCTATCTTTTTTCTCTGTCTGCTAAGGTTTGGATAGTTTCTGTTGCTGTCTGTAAGTTCATTGATCTTTTCTTTTATGATGTCTGCTCTGCTGTCAAGCTCATCTAGTGAATTTTCATTTCAGATATTGTATTTTTTAGCTCTAGAAGTTCAGTTTGGTTCTTTTTTTATATCTTAAGTTTCTTTTCTCATATCCATTTTTTTCCTGTTAATTCACAGACATATTTATAATTACTATTTTAAAGTATTTGTTTCAAATTTTCATAGTCATTTCTAATTCTTTTCTATTAACAATTTTTTTCTTAGTTGTGGATCACATTTTCCTGCTACTTTTCATGCTAGTAATTTTTGATTGGATGGTAGACATTTTGAATTCTGTGTATTAAATTTTGCTCTCTCCCTTTGGCAGTTACTTGTGTTTTAGCTTGGTCCTTTTGAGGCTTTTTAAGCCTAGATTCACATGTGTAGCTTCACATTCATCAAAACACTCCAGTAAAATGCTGTGCACATTGTTGTTACCCTTTCTTGCATATATCTTCCTCTTCCTCAGCTCTGTCCGGTAGATTCAAGCTACCTCAACTTCTTGAAACGCCCATCTCTGTCACCTCAATTCATTGAGACTACCTTGCTCTACTTTTTTCCCCTGGTGGTGCTCAGGTCCTGGCAGAAAGCTGGGACTCACTTGGTTGGTTTCTCTTTTTTCAGAGACCACAGTTCTGTGTTTGCCTATTTGGATAACAGTTATTGTATATACTGTTCGGTTTTCTGATTGTTCATGATGAAAGGTCACATTTATCAGTTAATCCATCTTGGCTGGAAATGAAAGTCCCTGTTTTCATGATTTTGGTGTTTTTAAAATGTGAAATTAAGGTATGTCTGTACTTTTTTTTAGATTGTAAACGTCTTGAGGGCAGAAGTTTTCTTCTGTTTTGTTCACTGCTATATCCCTAGTCCTAATAATAGTACCCAGGGCATCCCATAGGCATTTAATAAATATTTGTCAAATGAATAAATATTTGGAACTTACACCTTGAATTTCAGTTTGAGCCTTTATGATGTCTTAAATGATTGTGATGAGTAGGTCAGTTACCAAATATTTGCTTACCTGTTTTTGAGGTATCATAATCTTAATAGGCATCATAATCTTAATAAGCATTATAATTTCAATTACCCAAATATTTAACTAGCCAACTTCCCAGATATTTGAATACCTATGTTTGAGGTATCATAATCTTAATGGGCATTATAATCTTTTTTTAAGAGTTTTATTTATTCATTTGAGAGAGAGAAAGAGAGAGCATAAGCAGGAGGCATGGCAGAGGAAGAGGGAGAAGCAGGCTACCCAACCGAGCAGGGAGCCCGATACCGGTCTCGATCCCAGGACTCTGGGATCATGACCTGAGCCAAAGGCAGACACTTAACTGACTGAGCCACCCAGGCACCCCAGACATTATAATCTTAATAGTCCTGAAAGATGCTGTTTTTAAATATATGTAAATTATAAGAGAAGACAGTTTATTTCTTCAGTGAGGCTAGTAACCCTCTAAATTAGAAAATTTTAAGAATTATTTTCTGAAATGACAAGTTATGATAATTTATACTATGTTTTTGAAGAATGGTTGTTGAATTTGACCACCTTGATTTAAGTTAATATGATTTAAATTATTACTGATATTTTTCATTATGCAGCTTGGGTGATGGTTGCAGTTTTCCAACTCGCCTTGTGGGGATGGATCCAGAACAAGCTTCTGTTACAAATCAAAATGAATATGCTAGAAGGTGTGCTTCTTATCATTAAGTTTTTCATTATTCATTATAAAGCAAACTGTGTGTGTGTCATACATACATATCTGATAAATACAGTAATAATTTATAGGTCAACATAGATAAGGAAAGAAATTCTATGTAAGTTTTTTTTTAACAGAGAGCTAATATGTATATGTACCTAACATGCTTAGGATAACCATATTTTTTTATCATCCAAACCAGAACACTTGGAGAATAAGAAAGAGAATGCTTGCTATTAATAGTTGAACCAGGACAATCACATATAACTGGAAATGTCTGGGCAAACCAGGAAACATGGCTTTCCTAAATACGCTACATCTTTCTAGAAACTAAGACATTCTTTCAGGATTTGATTCTTGGTTTATATCCACTATATTTTTTTCAAAGAAATTAGTCATACTATCCACCATTATATTTTGATAAACAGATTTAAACTGTAGTGTAAAAATAATATTAATGAGGATTTCAAAAATACAATATAAAATTTTTTCTCATTCATTCATCTTAGAAGATACTTTTTCAGTATTTGCATGGCAAGCAAACCAATTCATAAATTAAAAGAAATAGTTCATTTTAAATGAAATTTTAAAGAAGACAGAGATACTTCTGTCAAACAGTCGAAATTTATTTAGGACAGAAATAAATTGTGGGGGAGGAGGGGTTATAAATTCCAAGCCATCTATTAGTATCAGAACATAGACCTTCAAACCTACAGCCTTAGGACCTTAGAACTCTTAACACTTATTGTGAGTCTGAACAAGTCATTTAAACTGTGTGAGACTCAGTTTCCAGCTCTGTAAAATAGAGATAACCATACTTACCTCCAAGGGTTATTGTGAAGGTTGACATAATGTGTATAAAGCACCTAGCACAGTGTCTGGCCCATAGTAAGTACACAAGAAATACTAGTTCCCTTTTCCTTCTTTTGTTCCTCCATTCCCTCCTTCCCTGGATCTCTTAGCAAGAAAAGTAAGTCTACGCTAAATCACTAAATCATTTTTTCCCCTTAGATCTAAACTGCAGAGGTAGAAAGCAGAAAACTTGGGAAATGACAGGTAATTTTTTTGTCCTGGCCACAGACATAGATCCTCACCTTGTGCTACTTTACAGCTCCTGATTAACACGTTTTAAAAGTTTCACACCAGCCTCTGAAGCTTTTTTCTTTTGTCTAATTGTTTTCATTGGCACTGCTGGAATATAGATTCTTGGGTTTAGAGAGCCATTCAGTTGGGGGTCGGGGGCATATTTTTCTTTTGAAGATAGAGTTTTTTTAGAGTGCTGAAATCTCATGAGTTGCCCTCACATATTTAGGAGAAGGAATACTAATTTGCTGCTTATTAATTAAGTATCCTTAACTGAACGTTAAACTATTTACTGAATTATTTCTTCCTCTTTTCAGTATTGGCTCAAATCAACCCTTTCCTATCAAACCGCTTAGTGAATCAAAAAACCGATTGTTGGACAGTGAATCTCAATGGATAGAGAATGGATCTGAAGAAGGCACTGTCAGATCAGGTAATACTTGTCATTTGAAAACAGTGCTTTTTCTGGTTAAAATGAAGATCAACCAGATTTAACAAATACGTAAAAATCAAAACAACATGATATTTTAAAATACTAAGATATGTGAGACTTTTTAATAAAATATCTTACAAATAGGGTGTCAGTGTTTATTGGTAGTTTTTATGGAGAAAGAGGTTTGAGAAGTGTAGTGGCTACTACTGTGTTTTGTTCTGTTCAGAGTTGGGATTTCCTTTTGTTACCCAGCCACATATTTCTTTACCTCAGATATAGAAAGTTCTTTGGGCATTCACTATTCTGAATAACATTTAAACAAGGTTATTCTTTAGCATCTTAACTTTTGCTTATTTGAAAATAATTTTTGAAATGCATTGTAGTCTTTGCTACCTTAGTATAAAAAGAATGCACCAAATACATTTTAACCTTTTCTTGGTGACTCAATCATTCCATGAATTGTGAATGCATTATAGAACAGTTGATAAGACAGAAATGGTCTTTCAAACAGATCGGGTTTATAACATAGCCTGGCCACCTAACAAGCATTATAGCCTAAAATATATGCATGGCGGTTTTCAACAGCACTAGCCATAACATTGTCATCATCTTGCACTGTGAGAAAATGGTTTGGACATTCAGATCAGTTGGTACCAACTTGAGGAAATACCCTAAAACTTGAAAACTTCCTGTTGGAATTTCTGATTTTTTTTTTTTTATTCTCTTGAATTGGTATCATTAGGATCTTCATTAGGATCATTAGACCCCGTGTAGGTCAAGGGAAAAATTCATTTCATGGGTTTTGTAATTATTGCTGCTGAACATCTTTAAAAGCCAATGGACATTTTTTCAAATATAAGCATAAAAGCAGACTTTTTAGCTCTTAGCACTGCTTTACTTCTGGGTTCTCCAAGTGGATATTGGTTGACACTATAAGCCTATTTAGTGTTTACATAAGAGTTGCTTTTACTGTAATCATCAATTTTACCAATTAGCCAGAAACTTAATACTTCTTTTTTTTTGTCCTGTCATATATAATTATGTGCTTGCAGGGACAAATAACCATGTTACAGTGGCAATAGAAAATTGAGTACCACTTGTTCATAACTAACCATTTGAATAAGAGCAAGGTAAGACAGTATAAAGGTAATTTCCTTGAACAAATGCAGTTATTTGCATATTTTATAATTTCAAAACAATTTGCAAGTCAATTTTTTTTTACTCTTTTAATTATATCAGCAAAATCAGGTAGTTCAGAAGAGATTGGAAGGTAACAGCTGCTTAAATCCCATTTTTTCTTACCACTCCTAGTGCAATCTTTATAAATACGTGTTGGTAGATTAATGAAGAAACTAAAAAACGGTTTGGGTTGATATGTGGACAACTAATCTTTTCAGTAAACAGTGTCATGTTAATTAGTTTAAGAAAGAAGAGTGACTAATTAGGGTGCAGAAAAGACTGAAGAGGTTCACCAGTATGATTTAGTTGGAAAAGATAAAACAAAAGAGCAGTTTACTGTAGTCAGCCAGCCACACTTATCCGCTATTCTCAATCTGGCCAGCCCTGAGACAGTAGCCAGAGGAAATTAATTTAAATAGCAATCAAGGACGTTCCAAACAGATTAAACATAAACTGTAGTATCAGCAGTGAGTAATGTAACTAAGTTGAATTTTGAGGGATATAGTGAATTCTCTGTCTCTCCTGATACTTCAAAACACTGTCTGTTTAACTTAGGAGCTAGCTCAGTGACTCTTTAGCATTTTAGGCAGCTATTAGATTTTTTGAAGTCTTCCTTATAATGTGTATTGGTTGTCTTTTGCTCCACAACAAATTACCACAAACTTAGCAATTTCAGACAACGTCCATTTATTACCTCAGTTTTTCTGTGTCAGGAGAGTTCATTTTTTTTCAGTTCTCATCTGGAGTCTCAATTAGGGGAACGTCTGCTTCCTTGCTCAGCATTTTCCATTAGCTTTCAGTTCCCTACAAAGGACCCAGAGCCCATGTCCAAAGTAACAGCCAGAGCCTAAGACCTAGACTGAATTGGAACAGCGCTCTCAGTGGGGGCTTGTGTGAGGCTGGACTCCGAAGATGAGTGGTGATTTTATCCTGTGATGATCATGTCGCCAGAACTGTAGCTGTGGTATAGTCCTGGTTTTAGGATTCTTAATGTGGGCAGGATAATGTCTGATGTGTGGTTGTTGAAAATCTCAGCGACCTATAAGTGTTGCTCTGGGTATTTCCCCATCTCCTGTAGCAGTCTTATGAAGGGGTAGATAAGATATCTCTTCAGATTATGTCCAAATTAACAGTAAGGGAGAACTGTAAGAATCTACCTCTTTTAAAATGCTCTCTTGATTGCTTCAGAGGAAGAAAGTCAGAGATATCACTGATTTACTGTTTATAAAAATCTTTGTTATTATTACAATATTAGTAGTAGTAAAATACTTATTCTCTGTCTTGTTATTTTAGCAGCTTTATACCTTAGCCCACAGAACCATTTAATAAATCTTTATTTTCAGAAATATAAAATCAAGTTTTAACCAATAACTTCAGTTGTTTCTGATTTTGTAGGTTTATAAAAACATATTATGGACTGATATTTTCAGCTTTATTTACAAGAAAATGGTCAATGGAATGAAATAATTGAAGTATAACAGAAGATATATTTTTTAAAAAGGAAGCCTTTGTACAGATTGCCAGATCCACAGAAGAAGCATTACTCCAGAGCAGAAAGATGCCTTAATCTTAAATACACCCATTTGTGCTACATCAACTTACTGCTACAAAAGTGACTTAATTTTACTTTGGAAATAATACTTACCTGTTATGAGATGCTGTACTATGAGCTATCAAGTCACATGTTAACATGGCATATGTATTTTTTTGACACCTGAGTTACATAATTAGAGTGTTTCTTAGTATCCATATAAAGTTTCGTTCTGAAACACAAGCTGAAAAGTTGTCTTAACTGAAGTACATGTAGGGCAGTATGATGGCTTAAGGTGAATAATAATATCCATTTACTGTTGCTTGTACTGTGTAAGGAAGAGAAAATAACTTTTTTTTATTGGGTGTTTGCTAATTTATAATTACTGTTTTATACTTTTCAACATTTATAATAAAGTTTTTTATTGTTGGCTATAAAATAACACTCAGAAAGATTCAGATATCTAAATATAATTATTTAAAACATGGAGCACATTTGTATAATTCATTGATGGCTTAGTTCTAAGCGTTAATACAACCATGAAATGTAGTGTTGTGCCTGAGGCTTAAAGGAAACTTGGCAGTATAGGAAATAGGTTCTCTCTGCTTTTAAATTACTTTTTTGTTGAACTTTCATGGGTATTTTTATGGGCAGGGAGACACAAAGGCAAATGTGCTATAGAAATATTGGACACAGTCAGAATAGTGGCAGTGGCTAGAAGAAAAGTAAAGAGGAAGATGGGCAGGTATTGTAAGCTGTTAAAAGTTATTTCTGGTCCCAAGGTATTTAGAATGCAACATGCTATTGACTTTCAAATGTCAATTTAGGCGATTACTAGAAATTACTTTGAAACTTTTTCCGGTATTCCCATAACAGCTTAAACAGTGACTTGAAAGGCAGTTTGAACTAGGGTAAAACTGCTTAGTGTAATTCCGCTTTCTGGAAAGAAATTCTAACCTAAGTGGTCATTTAAGACTTCTAGTCTGTGAGCAGTGAATTCCACTTTTACATGAAAAATTTTAAATCTGACTTCCTAAACACCAACCCCTTTCTGCCTGGTAGACCTAGATCTCCTTTTCCTTTTGAAATGCAATCTAAGTGACAGGAATTGTTGCATTAATTCTAAGGGAAAATACTGTATCCTGTAAAGGAGAAACAAGGTAGAAATGTTACTCCTCACTTATCCTGTTTAGTCAAATATACACACACAAACCAAAATGATTGATTGCTTCCAGTATTGGGTAGAGATAAATCTTAACCAGCATCTGTAAGTATCAACCATTACAGTTTCCCTATCTGTAAAATAGAATTGGGAGGAAAGGGTGTTATGTATGAGTTGGACTGGATGACCTCACATTCTTTGATTCCTAATTTTGCAAAATTAACCTTACATTTCATTCATCCAACAAATATTTTCAGAGTACCTTCTGTATGCCAAACATATGGTAGGGATAGCTCTATAATTTCCTAGTGTAGCATAAATTTTATAGTCCGCTCTTCCAGATCTTCAGTTCATAGGACTTGTCTAATTCTGTTGGCTATACTAATATTAGATTTTAAAAGGAAGTTATGTTTTTTTTTCCCCCTTTGAGCCAAAGGAATGAGTTAGCTTTGAAAATATAGTTTGGAATACTATTATTATGATTCTTCTGTCTTTATTTCAACTTTGTAGTCCTAATAATCTTGACTCTAGAAAACTGAGAGTTAAGGGATAACAAAATATCACTTCATTTTGGCATTTTGTGTATTATAAGGAAATTGTGAATGTTTAAACCTACTTGACTACTTTCAGAATTGTTCTCCTGGTACTTTTTGTGAGTATTTCTACATTTAGATCAAAGGATTTGCATGCACCTGATTAACAGTTGAGGAAACATAAATTTCCCCTTTAACCTATCCAGGCACTTTTGTGGTGGTGTATCTTTCTCTTTTAATTTGTATTTCACTGTCATCTTTAATAGCATAGCAAACACCTTTTCAGAAATTTTCACTTAAAGCCTTTGCTTTAATTTATGGCCAACATTTTGCCACATTCTAAATACTTGGCTGATTTATTCATACATATTAATGGTCATTCAACAAGGGCCTACAAACTGCATGGGAGTCAGGGCAAGGCTGCCTCTTTGGTATTTCAACTGGTATTGATTAGCTCTATCAACTCTTTGTGGGGGAAAGGTCAAAATGAAGGCCTTCAAAATGTATTAGTACTATCTTTGGTCTGGTCAAACACTTTGAATAGTTGTGGTGTGATATTTAATGAAAAGTTGAATTTCAGGGCTTGCCATTGCCATTAAAGACAAAGTCGACAGGAGTCTTGGTTTTACCTGGGTACAGATTTACTTGAATATTCAGTACCTGAGGCATCTGACCAATATCACTTTGCCAAACCAAAGAGCAGCTGCAGTACAGTAGTTATTGAACATGAACACGTTTACAGAGTTTAGTTCCATGATTTTTAAAAACCTTTTTACATATGGAATGGTTTTGATCCAATGTGTCTTAGGTGAATTTAACTGTAAGATTAGTTTAAATCAAATATGCAATGTTTACTTGAATTTTATTTCTTTTAGAAAGATTTTGACTATGTTTACAGGATTGTTCAAATTAAAGATTATCAGACACATGAGATGTCCATTCAGTAATCTTTAAAGCAAATGTATATTAAGGGCTTAGTGTTAGGATCTGTATATTTGGGGCACCGAATAGACAGTGACTTACAAATATGTTTTGCTTACATTTTGTTCTAGGACTAGCACTGCTATCAATGGAAACTATTTTTAAAATAACTAATCTGTTATTAAGAAATTAATCATATTTTTGCATTTCAGCCAAAATAAAGAACCATATCTGATAATTTGTAAGACATAGGTAATAGGTAAGCCTGAAATCCATGTGTTTCATATGATCTGAACTGTATTTTCCAATCTAAATTAAAAATGCAATATAGATTCAGAAAGTTCCATATTTTTCTAATGACTTCACTTTATATTGTTTTGTTGGGTTGCATAAAGAGGCAAGGAATTGTATTTGTATTAAAAGATTAAGAAAACTATTAGTCAAGTTTATTATATTTGTACATGATTGCAGATGAGGCTATGCCCATTTAAAAGAAAAGATGGACACTATTTTAAAGTGATCTTTAATAATGTTTTTATAGAAACAACTTTGAAATACAGTTTATTTTGGTTGTCTTTACTTATCAAGTACTGTAAGTCCTGTATTTGTTTCTCATAAGTATAATCCTGGACCATGACTTAATGTTAACTCTTTGCTTTGTCTTTTGGATGGCCTAACCTACATTAACATGAAGGCTGAACATTTTTAAACTTTTTTTTCAAAAATCATAATAATGATTTACTTTATTAATAAACAAAATCAAGTCCTGAAAGAACAGTTTTTTTGTTGTTGTTGTTATAAAGTGGTATTTACCAAATGAGAGAATAACTATTATTTTGGTCATCTTGAAAATTTGGTAAAATAGTGTTGAGAGAATTAGCTAATAATTTGGGAGTAACCACATCTAAGACAGGTACTATTTGGGTTCAGCAGTGTTTTAGTTTATGTAGGCCCGAGGTATGGATTGCTTTATTGAAATAGGATTTAAAGTTGCTTTCGCTGAACATAAGTTGATTTTCAATTCAAAAGTCACTTTAGGATTTTAAGTACCTTTGAAACATTGTAAGAGTTGTTGAATTATGGCTGTCAAAATGCCGAATAATGGGTTTTATCTTCTGTAGAATTCTTTTCGACATTTGTGTTCTAATTCCCTTCCAAGTCAACGAAGTTTTGATATTTGAAGCTGCTGGATAAAACAGGAAGGCTGTGAGAGCTGGGACTCCCAGCGTTTAGACTAGGAGAATTTCAGAACATTCACAGGAACCAGTAGAGGCCAGTAGAGATGAAGCAACCTTTATGTTTTGTTTTTTTGGAAAGCAGAGGGTAGTTTAGAGCACTGTGTTTGGGGTAGGAAGGAAGATAGACTACAAACTGGCCAAAAGGCCGTTTTGACACCCAAAGCACTAATGACATCACGTTGGCTTTACTTTTCTCACTTCTCATAAGCTAACTTTTCGGAACCGTTCTGGAAAAATTGAGTGATGGTGGCCTCTTTTACATGTCTTACACTCATGCACCCCAGAATCTAGAGGGATGAAAACTAACATTCAGTTTTTCTTCTGTGTAACAGGTTTTTATGGATGTTTTAACACTTCCATGAAGTTAACCTCATTTTCTTTAACCCTCCATATCAGTGCCTTCCATCTGATATAGAGGATTTAAGTGCTGTTTCCACTCCTTGATTTACCAGCTGTTGTTCTTCAAGCAAGAATGTCACCTCTCAGCCCATTCTCCAGTAAGGTAATTCTCTTTATCCAGGATTTCCAATCCAGAGGCATGCTTTCATCACACTTCCCCGTGACTCCAAACCAGGGTAGGGCTCTGTGCTGCCCAAAGGGCCACACTATTATTACTAATTTAATTTAGCCATATATTGGTCACACATACTTTCAAATCAACTCCCTAGATTATAAATTCTTGAGGACTTTTTTTGGTACTAACTACCCACAAAATGAACACTGAAGTTCAGAAAAGAATTGTAAGGAATTTTATGTTCATTACTCTGTCATGTCCCAAGTTCTCAAAGAAAAGTGAGCATCATAGCCTATAAAATTATCCCAAACTTGAAAAAGATTTGTCAAACAATCCTTGACACATTTTAGTGGAAGTTTAGATTTATGCTGCAGTATCATTGCAGAGCAGTTTGGCAATATCAAGTTTTCAAATGCCCATATTCTCTGACCTACTTTGGGGAATTTCATAGATTTACTTCTACACTATGAGCAGTACATAAAGACACTAGTTGCAGAGCTGTTTAAAACAACAGAAGACTGGAAACAGCATGTCCTACCGCCGTTTATGGTGGCAGAATGCAAGAGAATATCTGAAGGGGTACACGAACTATTAGTAGGGTTGCCTCCAGAGGAAATGAGGGGTCAGGAATAGGTTACATTTCACTGTTTACCCTTTCATACTATTTTATTTTTATGTTGTGTGTACATGTTACTTTTGGGAAAAAGAAAAATTGGTTAGGCATTCTATAGATCAGTGAGGGAGAAATAGGTTGGTTGAGATGTGATGCTGGACCTGTGTGCCAGCCATCTGGGAAAAAATGAAGTTGCTGTATCCTTCACACCCTACATCAGGACAAATTCCAGTTGGCTCATGAACTTAACAGAAAATGAAAACAAATACTGCAGAAAAAGAATGGGTAACAAGTTCTATAATGGGCTAGGAAAGGTATTTTTTAGTGGGCACAATACTGGTGGTCATGAAGAAAAACAGATTTGAGTACATGCAAATTTAAGAGGAAAACTAGCACTAATAGGAAAAAAGGGAGGTAGAACAAGAAGAAATTCACAAAAGAAATAGGGATCAATAATAGGATATAAAAAGATGCTTGGCTTCATTAATTAAGGAAACACAAGTGAAAACACTGATGAGATTATTTTTGCCTAAGATGGGCAATAGCCAGTGTTGCTGAGGATATGGGCAGAGAAGCATTTTGGTGGGAATGTAAAATGGCCTAACTTCACTACAAAAGTAATTTGGCAATATATGTCCAAGTTTCACTGTGCATAATCTTGGTACTGGCCACTGTACTCAGGAGTTTATATAGAGATATGCACATAGGCTGGGTGTTTGAGAGGCTTTTGGAAAAGCAGCACATGTTCCTTTATAGGGAATCAGCTAAATTATGTTACTCTTTTCCAGAGACTACAATGAAGCCATTTAAAGAAGGTTTTGTATAGCTATATACATAAAAACTGAAGTATCTCCATGGGAAAGATCTCGAAGACATTACATATATAGTATGATCCCACCTAGAGCTTTCAAAGTACATGTTGTGTACCTGTGTGTTCAAACTCAGCCTATTTTTGAGCACCTGCTCCAGAGGATGGGTGAGTGCTGGGACCAGAGGGAGCATAGAGCCACAGCCTGCCCTGCCTTCCAGGGCTAACTGGGTGGGGGGGGGGGGCAGCTGCTCCTACCTCCTGGCTTGTGGGGGAATATGGGCACCCAGGACCTCTACACTGAGATGGTAAGGGAAGCTCCTAGGCCAGAATCCCAGAGCCCAAGCATGCAGAGTGAGGGCCCAGGACGTCAGCAGGCCTCTGGGCATTCTTGGTACAGGGGACGAAAAATGCCAGCTTATAAGGTGCCTCGTTTGGCTGCTCGGAAGTGATGACCACCTGTTTGGAAGATTTACCAACCATAAACATGTGCATATAGTGTAGATGAGGAGCCGTAAGCCTTTCCCTCAGCCTTTTAAACTTCAAGCCCTTGTTGGCAACATGTGGCCTTTCTAGATGCAGAGAAGCTGTCAACGTATGCTAAAAGTACAATTAGAGAAACGACTTGTTTGTGATCATCTTTTTGTTAAAATTCACTCAAGAGACACATTATCTGGAAATGACTTTTGGAAATGCAATCTCTACATCATGTCTTGGATTCACGTCCCCATCTGTGTCCAGAGTTGGAGGAAAGGAGAGAAGACAATGAGAGACAGGGAAGGGTTTCCCCAAAACGTGTGTGCTGGAGCCATTTTCCAGATGTGTGCTGTCACTCAGCACTCCTGTACGTAGTGTATATAGTGATTAAACTTCAGTCCTTAATTCAAGTATGTAGCTTTTCTAGATATTTAGATGTGCTCATTATATTTAACAGTAGATATAGAAAGATAGGGTTAATATTTCACTCTTCTTAGATTTTCTTTCTAATAGAAACACTGAACCACTCTGAAAAATAATTTATCTATACTTTTCACTGAGTAGATGGAGGAGACTGAGAAGGGAAAATGCACATTTCCTGCAATGTTGCTGTATATGTGGTGTACACAATAGAAAAGGGTGTGCTCTGATTTCATATGACAGAGGGTAAATATTTATACTTTCTTGGTTAAATTCGTAAGAAAGACTTTTGAACAATACTTTTAAGAAGTGATATTCTTAATCTACCTCTGGAGTACAACATGCCTGTATTTTGTCCTTTAGTTAGGTTGGGAAGACAAAAAAGTAAGGAAAGATTTTGCCAAAATGTCATATTTTGGAGACACTTTCAGATTATAACCATTCCTCCCCATGTGCATTTTATTCCAAACAGCTCTGCATAGAGTGAACCTTGTAGGTCCATATTTTAACATCTAGTCTTTCTAGACACTTTGAAGTGAAGATGTTTGTTACACATAGTAAAATAATGTGTTTTTTATACCTTTTTTTTTTTTTTGGTTGTTAAATTCAAAACCTAATGTCCTGTGATGGAGTTTATTTAAAAAAAAAAAAGGACTATCTTCTGGAACTGATGTTGTTAATCCATCTCTGAGCTGTATCACATTTATGAGCTGGAAAAGTTAAAAAGAATGTATGAAAGGAAAGGTCCCATGCCATCTTCATTTTTAGAAAATGCTCCAAATTATACTTCATTCCATATGTGTGGGGGTTTTGGGGGTTTTTGTTTTGTTTTGTTTTCGGTTGTTAAATGATCCTTTATTGAAATGCTTTCCTTTGTAGTTCTTAACCAGCAGGGCATTCCACAGCGCTGCTATTGACCTCATCTATGATGTCATGAGGGTGGTGGCCATCCACACTGCAGCCCACAGACCGGGCAGTCCCCAGGATCTCTTTAATGGTTCCAGACAGTTCTCTGGCTAAAGATTGGTGCCACATCTGTCGGGCATTGCTGACAATCTCATCAAAAGTGATATTTCCACTGTGCTTCATGTTTTCCTGCTTCTTTCTGTCTCTTGGCAGTTCCTTGAAGGCTTTGATAATCAGGGCGGAGGCAGAAGGTACCCCTTCAATCTGGGCCTGTCTGTTCTAACTACTCAATCTCACCGTCATCCTCAGACCCTTCCAATCACCAGTTGCCTTGATAATGTCATCACCAACCTTTTTTTTTGGAGACAGAGCCAGGGGGCTGATCTTAGGAGCCAGGGCAGATGTGACACCAACTTCCCCACCAGTGCACCTCAGGTACACAAGTTTGATCTCACTGGGGTCAAACTTAGGGGTCATGATGGAGGTGGCTGGTGTTGGATGAACCCGAATTCAGGATGACTGAAGAGTGGCACCATGGCCTCCTCAGAGCCAAAAACCAAAAGGTCCATATGTGTTTGTAGTGGATGAAATTAAGTTTCTTGGGGCACCTGGCAGGCTCAGTCGATGAAGCATCTGCCTTCAGCTCAGGTCATGGACTCAGGGTCCTGGAATCAAGCCCCGCATTGGGCTCCCTGCTCAGTGGGGAGCCTGCTTCTCCCTCTCCCTCTGCCACTCCCTGTGCTTGTGCCCGTGGCTCAGTCGGTTGGGCAACTGCCTTCGGCCTGGGTCATGATCCCGGGGTCCTGGGATCGAGTCCCACATCGGGCTCCTTGCTCAGCAGGGAGCCTGCTTCTCCCTCTCTCTCCCTCTGCTTGTGCTCTCTCTGTCAAATAAATTTAAAAAAAAATTAAGTTTCTTGTTTTGAAACACACTAGATGTCTTGGGTGATGACACATGATATAGAGCTAGTGGAATAACATTTTATAAATATCTGTTTAATTTTATGTAAAATTGGAGAAATATTTATAGGTAGAATTGTTAAACCACTTGGAGAAGTACACATTCGGTACTTGTTCATTGGTTTGTGAGTGAGATAAAAGGTAGTACAAAGTTGAGGCTCTACAAATGTATTTCTATGTAGATTACAGCTGCAGATTGATCTGTATCAATCAGCATTTTATATAGCCATAGTTTATAGATATGCTGTTAAACAGTTAACTGGAAAACATGCTTTCTTGCTAATACTCTAGTAGTATAGGTCAAATAATGATTAGTCTTAGAAGCATTCAGTTATATATTCTGTGCTTTATTGCTTAATGTCTTATTTTATACTGATTATTAAAAGAGAAGGGACTCTTCTAATTGAAATATTTACAGGGGCCTGATGTTCTGTCCTGCTTCTAAGATGAAACATTTTATCCTCCTACCAAAGACTAGACTTCCTTTCTTTATTAACTGAGTTGGTGATGTTCACTCATACTGATAAAAATGCTGGTGCTTCCAAACTTTGACACAGGACATTATTCATGACAAATGAAAAAGTGAGATATAAAACCATGTGTATGATCCTCAGTCATGTAAAAAATGTATATGCCTGTGTACTGTGCTCCGATATTGTGGGTTATAAGTGATTTTGTTTTGGGATGCCTGGGTGGTTCAGTAGGTTGAGTGTCCGACCCTTGGTTTCAGCTCAGGTCATGATCTCATAGGTGGTGGGATTGAGCCCCAAGTCAGGCTCCGGGCTCAGCGGGGAGTCTGCTTGAAGATTCTCTCTCCCTCTGCCCCACCCCCTGCTCATGCACTCTCCCTCTCTCTCTTTCTCTAAGAAAATATAAATCTTAAAAAAAAAAAGTGAATTTATTTTCAGTTTTCTATGATGAGCACATACTGCTTTTAAATTTGCAGAGAAAAACATATACAAAAGCATTGAAGGAGACTGGAAGGAAGCACCCAAACAGTTGGGAAAGAGGGAGGAGTCAGCAGAGCAGTAGTGAGGGGATCTTCTGTGTTTTGCTTTGTATGTTATATACTACATGAATCTTTCTTTTTGAAAGATTTGTTTAATTAAGAGATAGCGGGGGGATATCTTATTTGCCATTATACCTCCCATGCCTAAAAATAGTGCCAGTCACACAGTAAGCACTCAGTAGTTTCTCAGTGTGATTCTCTACATAGAAAACAATAACTGTGCAGACATGGAGATCTGGAAGGATATTATTTTTGTAACCAGGAAAAAAAAGTTCAGTCGTACCTTCTTATGACTGGAAGGTTATTTTCCAGTACCAGTGCCAGGCATTGATGGCAGGAGTTCCACTTGGTAGGAACTGTGCCTGAGAAGTATGCAGCTGTGTGAGTACGTCTGTACACAGATACACATGACAGCATCATTTGTGATTGGAAACAATTAGAAACAACTAATTATCCATAATAAAAGATATTAAATACTTAATGGATATATCCACTCTCTGCAATACTGTGCATTTTTTTTTAAGTAAAAAGAAGTATCTATATAGACTGACAGAGAAGGTCCATGATACATTGTTGAGTGAAAAAAAGCAAGTTCAGACTATCAATACATGCAACAACTCCAGTAGATCTCAAGGAATTACTCTGAGTGAAACAAGCCAACATAATTCCATTTATATAACACTCTTGAAATAACAAACTTAGAGAAGTGAAGAATAGATGAGTAAGGTTGTCGGGGGTTGGGAAATAAGAGAATGGAGTTATAAAGGGAGAGCATGAGAGAGCCCTGTGGTGATGGCACAGTTCTGTGCCTTGATTGTGGTGGTTACACAATTCCACATGTGACAAAATTGCATAGGAAACTATACACACTCACGAGTGAGTGTGTGTAAAACCATGAAATTGGAGTAAGCTCTAGGTTGTACCAATGTTGCTTTCCTGGTTTGATAATGTACTATAGTTATGTAAGATACTACCACTAGGGGAAACAGAGTGAAGGATACACAGGGCCCCTTAGTACTTTTTTTTTTTTGCAACTTTCTGTGAATCTCTAATTCCAAATAATAATAAGTTGGAAAAAGCAAGTTGCAGAACAAAGTGTGTAGTGTGATTCCTTTTTTTTTTTTTTTTTTTTTTTTTTAAAGTATGTTATGGGTGGCTCGGTCGGTTAAGCATCCAACTCTTGACTTCAGCTCAGGCCATGATCTCAGGGTCGTGGGATTGAGCCCTAGGTCAGTCTCCACACTGAGCAGGGAGTCTGCTTGAGGATCTTGTCTCCCTCTGCTCCCCCCAGGTTGCTCTCTCTCTCTCTCTCTCTCTCAAAACTAAATAAATATATCTATAAAAAATGTTATACACAACATGCACGTGTGTTTGTATGTCTGTAAGTTTTATATGCATAGGAAAACACCTAAAGGGTAGACAGCAAATTGTTCCTACTACTTAGCCTTGGAGACGAGGAGGGTAAGTGGGAGTGGGCTGACACAGGAGGGAAGATTTTTACTGCTTCCTCCACATGTTTGCACACTGTTTAGACTTTTTTCTCAATGGACTTTTATACTTTGATATTATTTTAGTAACCAATAAGAAATTTTGTGAGTGGTGCTTTTAAAACAGGAGGAAGAGAGGCTGTAAGAATGGTCAAGAAGTTATCACCTCCCTTTTTAAATAATGAAATCTAAACATCACAGGAATCATCTCAGTAAAATTCCTGTGGCATCAAAATAAATACAAAGTAACATCTGCTTCTTGGAAATTTCAACAAACCTTAGTTGTCAACATAAAGAGCACGGTCAACAGAAATATCCTTGACTATGGAGGTAAAGCTACCTGGCTAGAATCAGACTCGTGTGCCCTAAGGCTTTCAGGATTTGCACTGACACCACAAATAATGCTCTTGATTTCAGTTAGGGACAATTTATTGTACATAGTATAAGAGGAATTTAAGATTGTGGCTAGATATAAAGTTAATGTGAAACAATAATATATATGGTCTTTATCATGCTGCTCATACAGATCACTCACATGGGCAAATTATTCATGTTCAAGTTAAGGTATAAGGAAGGAAGAAAAACGGAATAGAAAGTCTTCCTTTTTAACAACACCCTTTTTAAAGAAAAACAAAAAGGACAGCAAGTAAGAAAAATATGAGGAATCAATGCTTTGGAGTTTTCTGGCTTCTGATATGAGAAAATGTGAGTTTCCACAATAGAGAAGGCTAGTGAGAAAATAGATGCTTTTAGGTGGAATAGAAAGTTTGGTTTTGAGTATCTTAGCTTTGGGATAACATCTAGATAAAGATGTCAAATAATGGAATGTTTCAATCTGGAGCTTTTAAGAGATACTACAAATTTTGTGCATCGTATCTATAGACTGGAAATGATCATTAATGGCAAATGTGTAGATAAGTATGTAAAATTCTATTTTATTATCTTAATTTCTCTAAAAGCTGTGCTTGTTTAAGACAAAAATTATAATGCTATATTGTGAGATTTGTAACATTAAAAGCACAAAAAAATGGGTTGGTAAATGGAACTATACAGTTGTAATGAAAGTAGTATAATATTAACTCTAAGTAGACTGATAAAGGTGTATTTCATAATTCTTGGAGAAACCACTAAAAATACTGCAGAGCGGTATAACCTAAAAGTGAACAGAGGAGCCAAAATGGAATAATAAGAAATGTTAACCCAAGAGAAATCGAGAGGAACTGAGACACAAAAATCAAATGAGATTAATAGAAAACAAATAGCAAAAAGCAGATCTTAATCATAACTTAAATGTAAATATACTAAATACTACAAAGATAATTGTCAAATTGGATTTTTTTTTTTTTTTAAAGCAAGACCATAGGGGCATCTGGGTGGCTCAGTCACTTGGGTGTCTGACTCTTGATTTCAGCTCAGGTCATGATCTCAGGGTCATGAGATCCAGTCTGGCATCGAGCTCCGTGCTGGGCATGGAGCCTGCTTAAGATTCTCTTTCTCCCTCTCCCTCTGCCCCTCGCCCCACACTCAAGCATGCACTCTCCCTCTCTCTCTAAGAAAAAAAAAAAAAGACCCTATTATATGATTATATCCTGTCTCTAAGAAATGTATTTTAAGCACAAAGAAAAAAACTTCAAAGTAAAAGGATGAAAAAAATATATACGTCATGCAAACAGTCATCAGATAAAATACACTTTCATAATGATGAAAGATCAATACTTCAGGAAGGCGTAATATTTAAGGATTTATATGTGCCTAATTACAAAGCTTCAAAATAAAGTAAAAACAACTAACAGGCGAAATAGACAAACCTAGAGGCATAGTTGCAATATTTTAAATCCCTTTATAATTGATAAAATGCCTATACCAAAAGTCAGAATATAGAGTTGAGTGACACTATCACCCACCTTGACCTAACAGACATTTACAGAACAGTACACCCATTATCCTTAGAATGAACTTATCTCTGGGGCACCTGGGTGGCTCAGTCATTAAGCGTCTGCCTTCGGCTCAGGTCATGATCCCAGAGTCCTGGGATCAAGCCCCACATCAGGCTCCCTGCTCGGCGGGAAGCCTGCTTCTCCCTCTCCCACTCCCCCTGCTTGTGTTCCCTCTCTCGCTGTGTCTCTCTCTGTCAAATAAATAAATAAAATCTTAAAAAAAAAAAAGAATGCACTTATCTCCATTAACACATGGATTGTGCAC